GTGGTACATGGGTCCAATGGGGAGAGACCAGCTGGAGCAGACTCAGGTCTTCCTCCTTCTCTTGGGATCTTTCACATGGTCGCAAATGGCCCTGACTTATGAATCTAAAGGGGGATGGATGGTGCTAAAGGGTCTATTGATAGCTTCTTGCCCAAGGGCCTATAGATAGAAGACTTCTTACAGATTTCTCAGAGAATGAATTTTAATGCAGTTGAATGAAAGACTAGCCCTTTCCTTAATGTCATTAAATATTAAGACCTCCTTAAGAGCTTTCTGCAAGGAAACAAATGGAACTTTAAAATTTAACTGATTGTTAATTTAATTTATATTATAGGTTTTAATCACATTGAGTCTTATTTTTTAAATTAATTGAAACTAGATGTTTTTTATTGATTGGCTACAAAAATTAAAATGAAGTGCTACATTTGTAGCTTCATCTAGCATGAGAATACAAAACTGCACAGATTTGTTTATGTCATTATGTTGTTTGACATACATCTGTTCTGCTTCTTAACACACAAAATATTTTTCAAAACATGTTTTGTTTACTAGATAATTAACATTTTCCACATGATGCTGTGTCATGCTGGGGCATTAGATTCATATATAATATTGCAAGAGAGAGAATTTGGGAAACATTAGTTCAAATTGTAAGTTGTGTGGGCACATTATTACAACCCCGCCAATTGCTTTTAGCAACATAGCAAGCATTTATTTCTTATACCAGTACATTGGATAATGCAACACCTGTTCATTGTAAGTATATGAAACTTTGGAACAATAGTTAAGTGTGTCCAATTTTCCATCTAAACTTCTGGGATGAATTCTCAATATCTTTGAGGACATAGATTCCATGGACATGATATTGACATGATAGATCTCCACAATGCACCCTGCAGTAAGAACAAGAACAGACTTTATTCTTTTTCATCATTTTTATGTCTATACTCATATTTCTGTTGTATATTGTTATAATAATAAAAATGCACTTACTGGCATGAACTGGTGGGACCATTTGGGGACCCCTTGACTTGATGCTGGTTGGGGAGACTGTAACCTCCCAGTGCTGGGTTCTACTCCCATTATCCCTCACCATTTGCAATGTTGGCAGGGGCTGATGGAAGCTAGAGTCGAACAACCTCTCAAGGGAAACAGGTTCCTCATCTCTGCCTTAATATGCTTTCCAAAGGCTATAGTCCTAAAATTCTGCCTTCAAGCGCTCTCCCCAATTTTCCTCTTCCTTGTCATACCACTTGTCTATTGCTGTTCCAAACACAGCAGAAAATTCTTTGTTGTAGCAGCTGTCCAGTTAGGGTTGCTTTCTTCCACAGCAAACAGCTCTGCTTTGGCTGCCATGCCTCTGATCTTGAGTCTTGCCATATTCTCATCATTTTTTTGGACAGGGTTCGCTATAGTTTCCCATGAGACTGTGAATGAAACCTAATCAAGAGTGATTTTATCAAATTCAAATGTGGCTTTTAAAATACATTTATATTTGCAAGGGAACATCAAACAGAAACTAGCCATAAGACAAATGCTCATCTGAGTTAGTCCATATCAGGCTTCCAAGCAATAGGGAATACTTTACTACATGACATAAAAATAGGCATTTGTACCCACATATATAACATTTAAATGAAAGGAGAGCTAGATTGCTTTGGAGTATCACATAGTTTCTCGGTGTGAGTTCCTACTTGTTTCTTTAGCCCCACTGAATTTAATAGGGCTTCCTTTTGAGTTGTTAGTAATTAGGATTGCACTGTTAAGCGTCGTCATCCCCACTATGTGCTATTGCTTGGTAGGTGCCCTTTTAAAGTACTCTTGCACAATGTTCTTGATTGAAAAGTAATTCACTCTGGTTATGCACCACAACAGCAAAAGTGGCATCCTGTTATCGTGTTACAAGCAAGTGGAATGCCAAACAAGCACATTATGAGAGATGGAGAACAAAACTGTCTAGCTTTTTCCATTTGCTATGTTGTCTCTAGGCAGCAGCACATACTAGATGGGTTTTTAAAAGAGCATTAATTTTCACAGTGAAAGATTAAATGCTTACATGCATCATCTGATAATTGGCTGGCTAAATCCTACCCTTGTTTCATAGACTTAACCTGGTACATATTAACTGGGTCACTTTGTTGTTTATGAAATAATTGTTAAATTATCTAACCCGGTTAGAAATATCCAAGAAAGCTTGGAGCACCTCAGCAACCCGGTGCCAAAACAACCCCTGGCTTCCCAGCCTGACTGCAGGTTTAGAAAAAGGGGGTAGGGTTTATCCCGCAATTGCACTGGGCTTTGAACAGGAGCTTGTTTGTGTTGTGCTAATAGGACAGAACAAGATATTTTAATTTCTGTTTCAATGGGTCTTCTGTACCACATAAGAAAGGAACTACTTGTTTATTATACCAGATAGGACAAGTTTAGAAACTTTAGGAGTTTGAAACAATTGTTTGTTGGTTGTTTTTTTCAGAAGACCTGTAACATTATATTCTTTGTGCTCTGATTAAGAAACATCCTTTTTTGTTGAAGTAATCTGATCTGGATAGAGTTTAAACCGTTATAGCTTGCCCCACATATTTCCTTGGCCTCTCTCAGCCATGCTACTGCAGAGGTGTGTAACTTCTAGGAAACTGAGTGGGAAGAGATTTGAGAAGCTGGCAGAAAGGTGACTCAGTACTCTTGTCAGAAGCTTGCTCCTCAAAATATTTTGAATCTTACTGCTCTGTTAATTCAGTAAGTGGCAGCAGTTAGCAATTCATTATCGTCCCAGTGGTAAATCTTGGATGCTTAAGGCACCATTTAATTTTTTTTAAATTGACTTGCCTAGTGACTCTAGGGTGCTAGGATAAGTACTCACATATGCCCCAGATACAGACATCTTCCTTCCGAGAGATGTTATTTAAGAAACTTGTTTACTCTCATCTCTCGTTTGTGGCTTCAGTTTAGATCAGTGTTGTTTTAATTGGATTTTTACTTGGCTGATTGACACAGTATTCAAGAGTCCTTTTTTACTAATGCCCCCCCCCAAAAAACTTTGATTTACATGTGGAGTAGCTTCATATAGGTGAAGGTGAGAATGGATTTCTGAACACATACACTTTCAAAAAAGATGTTCTTAAAGATTGAGAAGACCCTCTGAAATAGAATGGGATATGGCAGTAGACTTTTTTTGGGGGGGGTGTTTTTATTTTTGCAAATTTAGGTACTCTGACTTGGCGTAAATATAAATATTTGCCTGTAAGGCAAAGTCACCATTGGATATAATCACTTTCATATTCTGCTGCTCTTATTGCTGATACTTTGCAATAAAGGAATTTGTTTTGCTTCTGTCAAACTGAAATAATTAGTTTGGAATCCACAATGTAATCCTATTTTTTTTCTTTTGCCACAATAGAATTAATTCATATAGTTATAATGTGGCTATATTTTAAGGCTATATAAATGAGTAGTTGTCACTGAATTCATTGCATTAAGTGCTTCTGGATTGGCTTTTGAGTTTGAGCAAAGACTGGGACTGGCATTGGAATAGGTCTTGGATATTATTCAGTGTTTAGGAATGTTGGAGAACTGGTTTGTTCTTATTCTTTGTACTTGCATCCCCTAAAGGAGCATAGATGAATAATTCTTCTGCAAAATCTGAATTATGCTTTCTTACTTCATAGGGATGTGGAGACTTAATTAATATTTTGTAGAATCTGATCTTCAGATAATGAAATGAAAGAGCAAAATACCCATTAGGATGACTGAAGCTTGCATTGGAACACACATTTGTATTTTTTTCTGGACTGTGTTCATTATATTCTAATAAGAAACATGGTATATAATGGAGGTCCGGGAAGCAAAGGCAGTCTCCAAATGCTTTTCATTTGGTCCCCAACAATAGCCCCCATCTGAAAAACTAATGGACACATCATTTTGTTCTACCAACACTTTTATCCTGTATCAACAGAAAGTAAGACACTGGCAAAAGGCTTTTTAACATACACACACCCATGTGAACAGCAAGAGACTTTATAGTAGAACTCTCCTCTTAGTGTGTAGCTCAGGTGCTCACTCACATGTGTAAGCCAAGACGCAAGACAGTAGTGGTAAACAGCTGTAGGTTGTCCGTAGCTTGGCCTCTCTGCTGCGGTATAACCCTATTGCAAGCTGATATCCCAAGTGTTCTGGCTGTTTATCCTGCTTGAATTAAGAATTCCCTAACAGGGAGGAAGTTTTCTCTCCTCTCTACACCTCCACCGTTTAGTTCCGCAAACAGATTATTTTCTTCATGGGTTTTTCGCTTTTATTTGCTGATTTTTTGCACATCTGGAAGAATGTGCTGCCTGAATTAAAAACATCTAGGTAACAAGCAACACTGGGAAATAAAAAAATAAACCTTTGAAAGAATCTTAATCTTCATCATAATGAACTGAATTTTCTGTCTGCCATCTCTTCCATGTTCAACAGTGATTTAGGAACCATATCTATAATACTGAATAGAAAACTGTCATTTGTAATTATTTATCCAGGATAGATCTAGGTAAATAACTGGCTGCTTTGAGATTTCTCTGAGCATGTGTGTAGCAAGAGATACTATAGCCCAGCCATAGGCAAACTCCGGCCTTCCAGATGTTTTGGAACTACAATTCCCATCATCCCTAGCTAACAGGACCAGTGGTCAGGGATGATAGGAATTGTAGTCTCAGAACATCTGAAGGGCCGGAGTTTGCCTATGCCTGCTATAGTCTCATCGTATAAAGCTATGTGTAATGTCTTAAAATATGCAAGTTTTCTAGGAGTATCTATAAACATGACCATTGTAATGCTTCTTAGCTGCAATGGTCAGATTCTGGTTGGGATTTTGTTTTGCCTTGTTTTGACTCTGGTCCCGAGTTTCTGGTAGGAGGTGAGGCAATGCTAATCTTGGCAGAAGAGAACAAAACCAAGTGAGTAATTAAGTGATGCAAGCCTTTGATTATTTTTCTCTCTCTCCTCTCTCTCTCTCTCTGGCACAGCTAGGCATTCCATTTGCAAGAGAAGGAACATTAGAAGAAACTGCTCAAGTTCTACGCAGGACGTTAAAAGAACTTCAGGAAGACCTTTTTCTGCTCGGATTAAAGAACATTATTCTTGAATCTCTCCTTTGCTCAGCTTCTAAAGAGCCACTTTGCCTGAATCAGTATTCCAGCAAGAAACTACTGACAAGAAGCAGTGAGGGGGTTGGCTTTTCTTTACTGGATCTTTTCTCTGTTGGATTTGTCTCATCAGTCTGAGAAGATTTCAAAAGAAAGGGAAGTTGTTTTCGTTTTTGCTTGTTTTGTATCCATTCTGAACACTTGCAATTTTATTATTTGCAAAGTGTTACCTGAATTGTTATTATTTTTATACTAAAGGGTGGCACATAATCACAACGCTCCTTGAAAGACTATGACTTCTTTAAGTTTGCCTTCCATCTTTTCAGCTGTTATGACAGGTGTTTCTCTGCATGGACTGTAGTTTTATATAGCAAAATTAGCAGCATTTGAAGAAAATTATGGTTTACTATACCTTGATGCAATACAAATGAGAAATCTGGAGACAGAATTTTGTTTTGGTGTTATGCAAGCTACTTCTGATTTTGAATCAAGGAAAGGACTTTGCGTACATAACATGCAGGTATAAAACCTTCCATATGATAAAGACTGAAGTGTGAAAGATGTCTTGGAAGAGGAATTATTTTTCAGTGGGACGGGGCACTGTACAAGGGATGTTCACTCCACGTAATACAACATCTATAGCACCTAGTAAAGGTCTCAGCAATGAGCCTGGACAGAACAGCTGTTTCTTGAATAGTGCATTGCAGGTAAGAAATCTAAAAGAATGTGTGCCTATCTTTTGTACATAGTTTTTCTCTTAATTTTTTGTGTGCTATGGATTATGGTGCTTCTGTGAGAACATCTAAACAGCAAAGCAACAACGTAAAAACTATCAAATCCTTCTATGAATTTATTTCCTCTTAATTCAGGTACCAGTCACTGGTACAATTATTGTTTCTTGTCTCGTATTTGTATAAATTCATTTAATTATTTTATGAGGTTAAAATGTATTTCAGAGTGGTAACAAATGTTACTTCGAAATCATATACAGTTGCAAGGCTGTTAGTGGTTTGGATTTGACACTGGGTTGAGGTGAGACTCTGTTGCACAATCTTTATGTAGGCTTTTCAAATTGGCTCCCATGTGAAAGTTGTGCTTGGGAATAAATGGCGTGGGCACACCCTGTTCTTGTAAATGTAGTATGTTTTCACTGCTTTTAATTCTGAATTTTGAAATTGTTGTAACCCACCGTAGGGCCTGCTGGTGTAGGGTGCATAATATATAAATTGTGTAATAATAGTAATAATTTTTTTTAAGCAAGCATTAGTTGGAATGTAATAATGTCAGGAAATGCCCCATTAGCTTGTGACAATTATTTATAATAGTCCTTTGGATTAATTACACAGTATATTTAGAATAAGTTTAAGTGGTAGCTATTATTCTAATTTTATGAAAAGATTTGATCTAATTGCTCAGGACTATGAAACTTTGGTAATAAAGCCAGGATAGACATACATCTGAATTTGTTTACACCAGAGATCGTTGGTACTAGTACAGGGTAACCAATAGAATTACTAAGTTTTATGAGAGCAAGACATATTCTTTTTGATTAGAGACAGAAATACGCAGAAATATTTTTGTGAAGCTGTGATTATTGTTATTGGCTGCTTTAGTTCTATGGATAGCGGCATATCAATTTTGATTTTCCCTTACTAAGAGAGGCATGGAAGACTGTTGAGCAAGTAGTTCCAGGCAGTGTTATGGATACACATGATGGTTCACTAAATGACATTGATAGCAAAAACGCAGGGTTTTGGAGTATATCTGTGTCTAGCTCTGTGTTAAATGGAGTTGCTCTGAAGCTGGACATGTATCTGCTTATTTTTATTGAGGCAGCCCATTCCTATTTTTTTGCATGGTTGCCACTTTGAAACCGATGAAACTTTATTTAGTAGTGGACCTGAAATGGTTTCACCTGGAAAATATGATCACCCCTATTTAAAACTAGGTCCTTGACATAGGCATAGCCAGGATTTATGTTTGGGGTGGGGGAGAACTGATCTATCTGCGACAGAAATGGTCAGTTAAGTATTTTTTTTATTTATTTACTTGATGGGGGGGAGTGCCCCCCAGCCCACTGACTATGCCCATGGTCCTTGATCAACAGACCAGAGGAAAAGCTGGAAGAGGAAGTGTTGGTTTACTGTCTTATATTAAGAGGCACATTGTACTTCTGTTGCTTTATATGCAAACATCCAGGACATCAAGCTACATTTTTAAATAGTTATATTTAGGTTTCCTATCTTTTAAATATGAAAATTACTTCCAACGGTAAGCTTGACAGTGAAGAGATAAACTACACTTTAGTAGTTAGAACTTACACCAGACCTAGAATTTGGTCATATCCAAAATATAGAACCATTATTATGTTATAAACTGCAGAGATAGCGTTAATCTTCTGCTTAGTCAGTGAAATGATAAAAGCCCTTAATTCAGGGGTCAGTAAACTTTTTCAGCAGGGGGCCGGTCCACTGTCCCTCAGACCTTGTGGGGGGCCGGATGATATTGGGGGGGGGGGCGGATGAACGAATTCCTATGCCCCACAAACAACCCAGAAATGCATTTTAAATAAAAACACACATTCTACTCATGTAAAAACACCAGGCAGGCCCCACAAATAACCCAGAAATGCATTTTAAATAAAAGGACACATTCTACTCATGTAAAAACACGTTGATTCCCGGACCGTCTGTGGGCCGGATTTAGAAGGCGATTGGGCCGGATCCAGCCCCCAGGCCTTAGTTCGCCTACCTATGTCTTTATTGGTTAGATGCTATGAAGGGCTGTAGCTCAATGTTAGAGCATAACTGCCTTGTATGAAGAAGGTCCCATTTTTCTTAACCTTATCTATCTCTATCCCAATGTTTGAGTTAGTATCACAGAATTGCAGAGGTGGAAGGGACCATGTGGGTCATCTAGTCCAACCTCTGCAATTCAGGAATCTTTTGCCCAACATGGTCTTCTTTACTATTCCCATCTAGAGATGCCAATCAGAAACCGTGGAGATCAATTGCCAAGCAGTGTAGACAATACTGAGCTAAATGGACCAGTATTGTGACTTGGTATAATGGAGCATTCTTGTGCATGCTCATAAAATTAGTTTATTAAAGTTATTATTTTAAGAGCCATATTTTATTTTTTTTAGGATTATCCCTTACTGCAGATAATGCTAGCCTATATAAAATACAATATGACCACCCTAATTTGAACTGCTCCCCAGATCCAATATTATGGCATGCTTTAATATAAAAAAGAATTTATTGAGCCATTAAACATTTGACTATCTTGGTAAAGAAATTCAGATCCAGACAATAACTAAAGCTTTTTAATTAAAAGAAGATGAAGAAGACATTGTCCAGGCTTTAATACCTTGCATTGTTATTAAACTTTCACACAATCAAATTAGCATTTAAATATATTAAAAATAAGATCATTTTGATAGTGAACTTTCTAGCAATTTTGAAACAAAATGGGGCCACTTTGGGACTCCCAGCAAGTGGAAGTATAAGTTTGTACACTAAAAGAAAAAGAAAGAAAGAAACCTGAGCTCCCATGACCTATGGAATGTTGTGAGCATGAATATAAGAATATTCTACATAATCCATATAATTGTCTGGAGAAAAGCTTCTGGGATTAACTTCTGCCTTTGCTGCTACTTTCTTCTGGGCTGGAGGTGGAGAAAGAACATGCTGCTGCCAATTACATCTCCTCTAAAATCCTGGATTTTTAATTATTTTCTATAGGCAACTCTCATTTCAATCTGGGAAGAGAAAAAAGCGGTAAAGGAAAAAAGTCAGGCAGACTATGAGTCTAGCAATTAAGTTTGTGGTTTAGGACAGTTGAGCCAAGGAAGTTGAAGGTATCAGTTAAAAACAGAAAACAAAGGAAGAGAGGGAAAGTTGACATGCTTGAGCATTGGTGCTGTGTGGGGTATAAGCCGGAGTTAAACACACAAACAAATAAATATATACCCACACTGATAGCTGATATACAGGCAACTCCCCACTTGTGCGTGACCATGCATACATATAGTGCTGGGAACTCAGAAGTGGTTCGTGGGGAGACCCTCCCCAGAGCCTGAAGAGGACATCCTTTTCAGGCTTTGGAGAGCATCTCCACACAAGCCAGAGGCGCAGTGGGGCTTTGTTGAGGCTGTTCAGCCTCCCTGCCTAACACCTGACATGCACTTTCCCCACATGTCAGCTGAAGAGCCTTAACAAAGGCCCACTGTGTGTCCAGCTCATGAGAAGACCCGCCCCAAAGCTCAAAGAGGGCATCCCCTGTGGTCTCCAGGGGTGGTCTCCTTGTGAGCCACAAGGACTCAACAGAGTGCTGCCCACTTACATACATTTCACTTATGCACTCAGGGCCTGGAACGTAACCCTGTGTAAATGGGGAGTCACCTTGGTAGCACTGGGTGGAATTTTAAGAGGGTGATGGGGGGGGGGGAGGTGCCAACTTCAAAAAGCTCTACAAGCCCCCTGTTGCATGCTGGCTGGAACCATGAAGAGGAACACTCCTAATAGTGGCTGGATATATAGTGTAGTATTTTGCTGCAGCTCCATTGCTGCCAAAAGTAGTAGCCAGTGGTAGATCCATACTCTCTGAATTGGTCTAATTGCTTTCCCCACATCATGCATAATTTTATACAACTCTATTGTATCGCACCTTAGTTGTCTTTATTAAAAAGAAACTAAAAGGCACCCAATCCTTCTCCCTTCCAAACTGGGAAACTATGGCTACCAGGTTTGGAAGAAACCAGGATTTTACAGCAAATTCCAGCCGTGGTTTATGGTCCTAGCTTGTTATGAATTTCGTAACCGTAGTTTCCTCGTTCTCATGAAATGGGAAACTATGGTTAATTAAAAACTCTGTGACTTACTGTGTCCTGCTTAAAAGAGATTAGAAAAGGCTTGAGGACAGAACAAGTGGGCAAAAGGCTCATATAAATAAAGTGGCTGAATAATGTGAGGTATGTGTTTGAAATTTATTAAAGGTAAAAGGTAAAGGTACCCCTGCCCGTACGGGCCAGTCTTGCCAGACTCTAGGGTTGTGCGCTCATCTCACTCTATAGGCCGGGAGCCAGCGCTGTCCGCAGACACTTCCGGGTCACGTGGCCAGCGTGACGAAGCTGCATCTGGCGAGCCAGCGCAGCACACGGAACGCCGTTTACCTTCCCGCTAGTAAGCGGTCCCTATTTATCTATTTGCACCCGGGGGTGCTTTTGAACTGCTAGGTTGGCAGGCGCTGGGACCGAACGATGGGAGCGCACCCCGCCGTGGGGATTCGAACCGCCGACCATGCGATCGGCAAGTCCTAGGCACTGAGGTTTTACCCACAGCGTCACCCGCGTCCCTTGAAATATATTAGGAATACTCATATCACTTAGTTTATTCTGATAAAGCATACCTCTTTCAATCCTGGATCTTACCCCCTTTTATTTTTTACTCTTTTAATTTTTATTCTCTGGGATAAATTGATTAGTAGAGCATGAGGCTCTCAATCTCAGAATCGTGGGTTTGAGCCTCATGTTGGGCAAAACTCCTGCAAGGCAGGAGGTTGGACTAAATGACCCACATGGTCCCTTCCAACTCTACAATTCTATGACTCTATGATGCTAACTCAAACATTGGGATAGAAATAGATAAGGTTATAAAAATGCTAATCTCCAGATTAGATTTATCCCAAAGGTACTTAGATGCTGTTGATGAATTTATTATCTGTCTAATTTTAGCCAGAGATTCTTATCTAAGACATTCTGAAATGGATAAATTAAAAATCACATTCTTCTTCTTTGCTTTACAGGTTCTCTGGCATCTGGATATATTTCGACGTAGTTTTCGACAACTTACAACACACAAGTGTATGGGAGATTCCTGTATATTTTGTGCTCTCAAAGTGAGTAATTTGACAGTTCAGTTCAGTTCAGATTTAGATGAAAAAGTAAGTGTATATTAGCTGCATCTTCATTCATTGAAGATTCTTATCCTGCCCTTCCTCCAGTCAGGAGCTCAGAGAAGCTCATGGCTGATAGATAAACAATCATACAAAATGAGATTTAAACAACAAAAGTCATAATAATGTTGTAGCAGTATTTCAAGGTATGTGCCTCGCTTTACTTTCAAGCTATACTTTGGTCACACTGAAGTGAAGTCATGAGATAGAACTTTGTGAAGTGCTTCAATTTATGGACTGTAACTCAGGTTTCTCCAGCAAGAAATTCCTCACTGTGATTTTTCCATTCATGTGAATATAAATTCACATTCTGCAAGAGTTAATTTGTGTCTTACTGCTCATACGCTTTCGTCTACATTGAGTGTCGTCGTTCAGAACCTGTCATACCTGCTCATATCAAAATAAGACGTGCTCCTATTGTAGCTTTCATAATCTGAGCTGCAATCTTAAACCTTTGCCTTGGGAAAACAACCGTGAGCGGTAGTGATGCATGGATCAAGGCTCCTACTTGCTTTCAGGCCAGCTGTCTTAGTGACTGTAGGATGCAGAAGTGCTGCCTTGACACTAGAACAATTTTCTGATCTATTATTCATTTTGATGTCTGCTGTGCACAGTCCTTGCTTTCTTTATTCATCTAATGTATGACTTTGGTTTGGAGTTTGTTTATCTCTGCTCAGGGAAAGGGGGGGGGGAATTGGTCTGTTGGTACTAAGCGTGCCACAAAGAGTTTGTTTGCCTTCCAGGGATTGTAGTGCCAGGATGTAGGACAGAGGGTGTTTTGTTGTTGGTGGAGAAGAATGCAGCATTGATTTGTACATTCTGCTAGAGCTTCTGTATTAGAAGTTTTTCATATGTAACAAAAGCAGGAAGAATTAACTTTCTGGGCAGAACGGGTGTTTTCTGAGGTGAAAGCTGAGACACACAGTGTTTGGACTGACATTAGGGACAAGAAATGTACTGTTCTAATTTTAGTAGGTAGGTCCATATTGAGCAAGCAAAATAAATTATGTACATCTGTACAGATCTACTTACATTGCTAAAGCTGTGTTCTGGTTTCTGAGACTCCTGGCGCCACTGCCAACTTGTTCTTTCAAAATGTCCTCTTGTTAGGCTAGACACTCCCTCTGTTCCAGGATTGGGGAACCTGTGGCCCTTCAGATGTTGCTAGACTCCAACTCCCATCCAGAATGACCAGTGGCTAATGATGGTTGGAGTTTTCATAGAATCATAGAGTTGGAAGGGACCACGGGGATCATCTAGTACAACCCCCTGTGATGCGGGACTCTTTTGCCCCATGTGGGGCTCAAACTCACAGCCCTGAGAAGTTGTAGCCCAGGAGCGTCTGGAGAGCCACAAGTTTCCTGTTCTGTGTGTAATCATACATTCATTCACTAAGCTACATACACGGAAACACACATGTCGTTAAGGCAGACTTACACACATTCTTCTCATTTATGGAGCAGGATAAACGCACACATTATTTTAAGGAATGAGATACATACCTGAATGTGTGTCTGGATTAGTAGGCATTCTCTCCTTTAGTCAAAGGGTGTATTGTTACAGGTAACCCAAATCTGTGTCAAGCGGTGCACATGATTCCAAGGGTCTTGGCGCTTAGCCAGGGTTTGTGTTTCCTTTGCAAAATTAGGCACAACAGAGGCTATAGTGTCTTTATGATATATGGTTTATTTACGCATATATGCAACCTGAAGCTTTCATTGGAGGGGCTCACAGCGGCAGCACCCCAAAGCGTGCCAGCTTACTCCATAGTCGCAGCATCAGGATCTTTTCTCTGCAGCCTCTCTTGTTCTGCATGACACATCCCAGCTTAACTGTTCCTCTCTGCTTCCTGGTTACATCCTTTCCCTGAACTAAGCCCTCTTTGTCTATAGAGGGAGGGAAGACTCCATTCATTCCACTCTAACACCTATTTCTTTTGAGGCTTTGAACTCCTAATGGTTAATCCCCCGGAATATTTTTGCTTTACTTCATTAACACTTGTTGATTGACTAGTATTACAATGTTGTATACACAACCCAGGAAGTGTGCCTAGAATACACACTATGCTTCCTTAGGTTTTAACCCCTAGATAGTATGACTCAGTTTTTAACACAAGCTTAATTAAACACCTCAAGTCACCTCCTCACTTAATTGGCTTTTGATACTTAGCTTAATTGCACACTTAAATGCATGAGTCTAGCTATCACTTCACACCGGGAGACTACTGTATTTTTCCATGTGCAAGACGACCTTTTTTTCTGAAATTGGGGGGTCATCTTATGCACAGGTTAATAAGTTAAGTAATCGAGGGCTGGAGCTGCTTGCAAAAAGAAGCTCAACAACTATTTTTGCAATTTCCCAAAGAAAGCTCAACAACTTCCTTAATTTTTAAATTTCTTAATTTTGGCCTCCCAAAATAGGGGTCGTCTTATACACGGGGTCAGGTTATACCTGGAAAAATATGGTAGCTTTTGCCACCCCAAACCTTAATTAAATCATGGCACTAGGCTGCCTTGCACCCCAAATTCATAACATTATTAAGGCTTAACATTTTTTTCTCTGTCTCTCGTTCATACCCCAGTTGCTATCATCTGCAGCAGTGTTAGTAGGAACATTTGTCTTGTTAGTAGGAAAATGATTGTTGTGTATCATTACCTTTCTTATTTTTTATCATTAGCCATTAGTTATTAAGTAGTCTACTGTTACTCTGGGGCAATGTTGCTGGGTCCAAGAAAAAAATATTTCCTCCTATTTTAGTAGCAGATTTTTGTTGACAGCGGATTAAATAATTTTTAATCTATTGATTAAATTTGCACAAAGGTAAAAATAATATTTCTTCAGCAGGAAGTATATTTTCCTTGCTTTTTAGGTCATACACAGGTGTCATTTTAGGAAATTGGGTGTGTGAAAGATGGGTGAATGCCTCTTTTAAGATGATACTCTCTGCTTTGCTTTAGTCTCTTGCCAAGCCTCCTTTTTCCTAATCTACACTTTAAGTATTTACTATTTATTATATTTCTTGTTGGAAAATGCCCTGGGGTGCCCCTGCAGCCCCCGAACTCACTGTTCTTCCTAAAGGAGTCCAGAGGTCGTCTAGTGTGCAAATTCCCTGCCCTTCTAGAAGCTAGGCTTGCTCCATATTAGTAAACAGGCAGCCCTAAAGGTTAATAGGGAAATTTCATTGGACTGCAAATACAATGGTCATAGTATTGCTTTATTGTAGAATTTGATTTTTTTAATGAATGTTGAAAAGTGCCTTTTTAAGCTCCTTCCTCCAGACTGGATTATTGTAACTCGCTCTACGTGGGGCTGCCCTTGAGACTGACCCAGAAACTCCAGCGGGTGCAGAATGCTGCAGCGAGACTCCTTACGGGGTCTTCGCTGCGAGATCACATTCACCCGGTGCTATACCAGCTGCACTGGCTCCCGGTGGAGTACAGGATCAGGTTTAAGGTGCTGGTTTTAATCTTTAAAGCCCTATACGGCTTAGGACCCTCGTACCTACAGGACCGCCTCTCCTGGTATGCCCCACAGAGAAACTTACGGTCTTCAAATAAAAACATCTTGAAGGTCCCAGGCCACAGAGATGTTAGGCTGGCCTCAACGAGAGCCAGGGCTTTTTCGGCTGTGGCTCCGATCTGGTGAAACACTCTGTCACAAGAGACCAGGGCCCTGCGGGACTTGACATCTTTCCTCAGGGCCTGCAAGACAGAGCTGTTCCACCAGGCCTTTGGCCAGGGCACAGCCTGACTCCCTCCCTTGGCAATCTTCGCGGGGCTCTGGCCCAATGGTTGCCAGTGGCTCGATTTGAATTAATTTTATAATGAATGATTTTAGAGTGTTGTTTGTGCTGTACTTTTGTACTGTTTTATTGTTGTTAGCCGCCCCGAGCCCGGCTTCGGCTGGGGAGGGTGGGATATAAATAAAATAATAATTATTATTATTATTATTATTATTATTATTATTATTATTATTATTATTATTATTCCTCACCCATGAAAATTCTTTATTAAATAAGACTGACTAAAGGTGGCATAACTCATGATTTGTATTCAGAAAAACTCCCATTACACATAAAAATGGAAATTAAAGGTCCTAACGGATTGTGCTTAATTTTGAAAATAGAATTAGGAATAGGAAAATGGAACCAGAAAATAACTCTTAGGATGTCTAATTCTAATAATTCTTACTGGTGGTTTTATTTCCGTTTGGAAAAAAAATCAAAGTTCACTGGATGGAAGTTAATATTTTATTCAAGGAGCTTGAACAAAATGTTGGAGCCTTCTCCCTCGTATTGAATATATACTTGTATATATAAATCTACACGATATTATTTGATGCGATCTGAGGAGAAGCCAGAGTATATTGTTTTGATAAGCACACGCTGGTAGATTTTCACCCTTCACCCCAAAAGTTTTTACTCTTGAAGGCATAAAGCCTACTCCATTGTTTTAAAATGATTTGTATTAATTTTAAAGGAAAACATGAAAATGAACCATTTCAATCCGTGCTAAACAATTTACAAAACTTAAATCAGGATCCAGGATTCTTACAAATAAACAATCTTATTAATAAGCATCTTCCTTACAGGTTCCAAGTTACCTTTTACTCCCAAATGAAAAGCTTCCCACTGAGCTTCCTGCTTAGAATCCTGGCTTATGAAGCACCTTTCAGTTTCTTCCTACCCTTTCCCTCGCCATTAAGAGCTTCTAATCCTGGCCCTTCTTGTAAGGGACTTCTAACTGAGCTCTGTACCTTTTGTTCCAGTTTGCTCCCCGTCTCTCCTCATGCAGGCTCTCAGTCCCCGTGTCTCACGTACTTCCTCCTCTCTCAAATTCTTGACCTTTCTCGCACTCATGTGCTTGCTTCCTCTGCTCTTGACACCACACCACCTGGAGTGTCCAAAGCTAACCTGAGCCCCATGGCTCTTCCCCTGCTAGCTTTAAGCCCCGGAGGGGTGTTGCATGGGCCTTCTCCCCAGGTGAACTGCATCCCTCCAGCCCCCAGGCAGTAATGAGGCAAATTCAGGAGCTCCTGAGCTCCCACCTGCCTATCCATCAAAACTTTCTCCACAACCACATTGGCTCATACTTTATGACTGAGATTTTAAGTTGAAATACTGATTGGGAATTTGAAGTCTTATGGCAAAAATAGATCAAAGGAAGGTATGTGATAACGTGCTTTTTTTATTTATGCGTTTTATTGTGTTTGTTCCCTGTCCTTTCTCCAAAGAGCTCAAAATACTCCATTGCTTGTTTTGGAATAGGTAAACAAAATGTTGAAACTGATTTTTGCCAGCTAGGAAGATTGTGTGATGTTTAGGAGACAGTCCTCCACAAGATTTCATTAGCGTTACAGTTAGAAGCCCGTTAGCATCATAGGAAGTTAGGTAATTGCTCATTTAGAAAGGTAGAAATTATTGCAGACTGGAAGAAGACAGTGTCCCTAAGGTCACTAACACTAAGAAGCTTTGAGTTAGTTGTAATGGAAAGTGGATTGGAATATTTCTAGCCATAGATGAAAGCAAATGGGGTTGCTTTTAGTAGTACTGTAAAACGTTTTTAAAAGGACTATACCAGGGTTAAAATGGATAGAATAATTTAAACCATTTGAGACAAAAAAAAGTATCAAAGTACCAGCAATCAGCAAACAAGTGGGTCTAAGACAATAAGTCATGCATGGCTGGGGTGTAGTAGTTAAAGTGCCAAACTAGGATTGGAGAAGCTCAGTCTCAAATCACTCCACCATGAAGCTTGTTCAACTAGACACAATCTCTCAGCCTAACTTACCTCACAGGATTGTTTTTAGAATAAAAATTGATAGTACCAAAAATGGATGCATCAAATATTTTGTACGTATTTATTCTTAAGTCCAATTTTGCTATATTTGCAGATGTTTTCCCCATGACAATTCATTGATAATATGAATGTTTAGAATAGTTGCCGTTGGGTACTAACTAAGGACTGCAATTTGCATTTTGACATTGGGGCTTTTTAAGTGCCTTTCCTGTTGCATCCCCTTGCACAGCTGAAAATATTCTCCTGGTGTTGGAACCCTTTGCAGCAGAATGGAGTCCAGTGCAAGGAGGTGCAGTCAAACTAAAATAGTCAAATCCCCTATATGTGTTTCAGATGCTGATGTCTTTTGTTATGCCAGTCAGATGCCTAACTATTACAGGCAAGTCAGGAACCTATCAACGACCACCTGTTTGCCATATCTTAAGAACATTGAAGCCTGGTTGTTTATAGGGTTGTTAAGAAAAATACATGCAAAATGTTTAGTGCAGTAACATCCCTGGTAGTAATCTCTGATGTATGGATGTGGGGATGGTATGCTGGTGCAGTCTAGTAAACACTAATTTAGCACGAGCATGTGAACCAAAAATAGGATAAAAGTAATACATGTAGCTAAGATGCCAAAAGCAGGAAAAGAGTGAAAGTGTGAGTCTGCAATTAGTATCAAGGTTTTCATATATGACATGATAACATGACAGATACTGGTAATTGGATTCACTTTGTGTAAATGTACACTCACTTAAGACATGTGAGTTCATGTAAAAGTTGACCTTTAACTTTCCTCCTATCCTAGGGTATCTTTAACCAGTTTCAGTGCAGCAGTGAGAAAGTGTTGCCATCTGATGCACTTCGTAGTGCTCTTGCAAAGACTTTTCAAGATGAACAGCGTTTCCAGTTGGGCATCATGGATGATGCTGCCGAATGCTTTGTGAGTATGACTTCTGTGGAATAGCTGAAAATTCTTGCAGGAAAGAATGCCTTGCCTTGCTAAGCACAAACTAGCAGATCCCCATATTCTCAATTAATAATAAGTATTTTACAGCAAAGGTAGTAGTGAGGAACACTGAGCTGCTTCTAGTGAGACACTTAGGTAGGCTATACAGTGTAATAGTGAATATAATACTGTCGCAAAAGCAGGCGAATTTAACAACTATTTTAACCCATTTAAACAGTGGTGTGTTTGTGAATAAGACTATGAGAAAAGCCACAGTTTGGGGCTTAAATAACGATAGCATTAAATTCTACTAAGAATATAGTTTAGCCTTCACTCTCTTGCTCTCTCGCTGCTTAAGTAGAAGCATAATTTTAAAATTTCAGATCTTTGAAGAATCTCTTACATAAATCCTTCAAACGTCCATTGTTCTAGAAACAATCATGTCAGCTGTTAAGAGAGTGATCTTTCTTGAATTCAGAGACGCTGTTGTGATAGTACTGGCCAAGTCATTGTGTTAATTTTACCAGGAAGAGAAAATGTTATATCTGGCATAATTTAATGTCTCTGCTTGGTGCCTAGTGGGTTGCATCTGCTCCCTGATTTTGTTATTTTAGATGATTCTTGCCACTAACACCTGCCATATATTTACCCTTTTCTTATAAAAAAAACTATAACTAGTTAAGGTTTTGAGGTGCAGTATTTATTCTGTTTGGAATGCCACTGTTTTGCGTATCCGTGTTTCCTCTGACTTTTGGTGCATAGTGTCCAGACTTAATTGAACTGGGAAATCTTAGTTGATATGGCTCCTGTTTCCCTGTGATTTTGGCTAGGTTTGTGAAGCTGCCTTTCTATATCTGCTGGTGAAAAGTGGGAAGTAATATTAATTGGCAGTCACTTCCATATTGCGTACCCATACTCATAATAATAATAATAATAATAATAATAATAATAATAATAAATTTTATTTATATCCCGCCCTCCCCATCCGAAGCTGGGCTCAGGGCGGCTAACAACAAACAAAATAATCCAACATTCTAAAAACATTCATTATAAAATTAATTAGATCAAATTAAAATCAAATTAATGGCAACCATCAAGCAAAATTCTGTGCAGATTGCCAGAGGAGGGGGTCAGGCTGCGCCCTGACCAAAGGCCTGGTGGAACAGCTCTGTCTTGCAGGCCCTGCGGAAGGATGTCAATAGTAAAAGGATATGTCATAACCGGTTATATAAAACCCACTTGTAATGTTTTGTAGCTAAAACTGGAAAAGGATAGGAACTCAAGACTTGCCAAGCCAGCTTATAGATGCTAACCAATACAGTATACAGTTTGTGTCATCACAAAATGTGATATTTGCTAGCATTGCAAGCTGGTAGGCTGGCATAAAGGTTGTGGATGGAGAATGCAAATAGGTTCCCACTTAAACCTTAGAACAACTTCATTACTTCACTTTCTTTCCTTAAAAGGTATGTCAATACTACTTAAGCCAATATTATATGTACTTGAGAAATCAGTGAACAAAAGATAATAACGTTATACCAGGTCAGTAAGCAGATAACTAGGCTCTGCCTGTCAGCCTTTGTCAGCCCATTATTTAGATGCTGCTTTGTACTTCAGCCAAACCACTGACATTTGAATAGTTGTCAAAATTAATAATGGCATAACCTGAAGATTTGGTGTAACATCCAATATGGATGGAATACAGGATAGTTTTCGGGGTTACATTAACTCATTCTTGACATTAGCTGTCAAGCTCCTAAATTCTTAAATAAATTTAGAATACTTAGAAGGTACATCCCACCTTGACCCTAAAATGTCACCTTTCATTATTTGTCTTTCTGAAATTGTTTAATAATTCTTATTTTTATTTCCTCTCTCCCTGGCTGCAGGAAAACCTCTTAATGCGGATTCACTTTCACATTGCAGATGAGTCTAAAGAAGACATCTGTACTGCCCCACACTGCATTTCACATCAAAAGTTTGCAATGACCCTATTTGAGCAGGTATGGTACAACATAACCATCCCAAACCAATTCAGTCCTGTGATATAGAAATGTGGAAATGTGCATGAGAAACTGTTTTCAGTTTTGACTACTGACGGTTTTTATTTTTCTGATTTAGTGTGTTTGTACCAGTTGTGGTGCCACCTCTGACCCATTGCCCTTTATCCAGATGGTACATTATATCTCGACCACTTCACTCTGGTGAGTCTCAGTTCTTTGCAATGGAAAAGAAAAGGAAAAAAATTCCCTTTGTGTCAGGACTCTTATCTACCTAACATACCATATATGTTATGTATATTATTGATAATTGGCCCCCAGTTCATGATATAATAATACTTTTCAGATATTTTTATTTATATTATATTATATTATATTATATTATATTATATTATATTATATTATATTATATTATATTATATTAGCATTTGTATACAGTCATACCTCGGGTTGAAGTAGCTTTGGGATGAATATTTTCGGGTTGCGCTCCGCAGCAACCCAGAAGTAACGGAGTGCATTACTTCCAGGTTTCGCTGCTCGTGCATGTGCAGACGCTCAAAATGATGTCACGTGCATGCATGGAAGCAGTGAAACGCGACCCGCAGATGCGCAGACGCACAGTCGCGTGTTACGTTTACTTCAGGATGCGAATGGGGCTCCGGAACGGATCCCGTTCGTATCCAGAGGTACCACTGTACCTCCTTTTGGCTCTCTAGATAGAGGACGCCCCTCCCTGTGTTTTACAGCACTAAAATTATAAGAGGCGCTTGCTGTATCCGGCCCATCTCGTCCAGCATCCTGTTCTCACAGTGACTGACTTGCAAGGAAACTTGCAAGCAGGATTTAAGCACTCTCCCCTCCTGCGGTTTCCAGCAACTGGTATTCAGAAGCATTGCTGCCTCAAACTGTGGAGGCAGAGCAATAGCCATCATGGCTAATAGCCATAGATGGCTCTCTCCTCCCAGGAATTTGTCGAATCCTTTTTAAAAGCCATCTCTTTTTTTTTTCAATATAATTTTTATTGATATATATATATATAAAAAAATAATAATTTCCATAAATTTTTCCATTCATCATTTTCACATCACATATTCGATTTGTAGAACTCCCCTCAACTCGTCTGAAGTCTTCCATAATTATTTTCCTAGCTACACATTTCTTAATTTCTCTATCACCCTTAAATAACAATTAAACCCTCATTTATCTTCTTGTGATATTCATTTTTTTTCACAAAGCCTCTTTAAAACATACTAGCGTTATATTCTCCTCACATACAGTTTTCAAATACTCTCTGAATTTTCCCCAATCCTCCAAAAACTTATGATCTTTCTGAAATCTAATTTTACCAGTTAGTTTGTCCAGTTCCGAGTATTCCGTTAGTTTTGTTCTCCATTCTTCCAAAGTCGGTATTTGTTCTTGTTTCCAGCATTGGGCTATCAGCATCCTCGCTGCGGTTATCGCATATTGAAAGAGCTTTAAGTCCTTCCTTTTTATCTCCTTTTTAGTTATACCTAGCAAAAAGGTCTCTGGTCTCTTTACAAAACTATACCTTAACATTTTCTTTAACTCATTATATATTTTTTCCCAAAAACCTTTCACTATTTTGCATTCCCACCACATATGCATAAACGTACCCTCCCTCTCTCCACATTTCCAGCACTTATTACAGATCTTATACATCTTTGCCAGTTTGACCGGCGTTAGATACCATCTATATACCATTTTCATGGTATTTTCTTTCAATGTAATAGATGCTGTATATTTCAGATTTTCATTCCATATCTTATACCACTCTTCCAACTCTATGTTGTACCCTAAGTCTCTGGCCCAATGGATCATTACCTCCTTCACCTCCTCATCCATCGTATGCCATTCTAGTAACATTTTGTACATTTTGGATATGATTTTGCAATCGTTGTTAACCACCTCTGTTTGAAACTTCGACTCTCTTTCATTATATCCATTTTCCTTCAACTCTTTTTTAAACATATTCGATATCTGATGATAGTGCAGCCAATCATATACATGTTCTTTTACCTGCTCATATGGCTTTACTTTCCAATTCTCCCCTTCTTTCATCACCAACTCTCCATAAGTAATCCAATTGCTTCTCATATTAGTTTTCTTTACTCCTATAGCCTCTAGTGGGGATAACCAATGAGGTACACCCCTTTCCAATATGTTTTTATATCTATCCCATACCTCAATTAACGATTTTCGAAATATATGATTTTCAAATGATTTGTGACCTTTCTTCTTCTCTTGCCATAAGTAAGCGTGCCACCCAAATCCTAAATCAAATCCTTCTAAATCCAGTAATTTTGTGTTTTTGAGTTTCACCCATTCTCTTAGCCAACAGAGACATGATGCCTCATAATATATTTTCATATCTGGCAGGGCAAATCCCCCTCTCTCCTTTGTATCTATTAACAACTTATGTTTAATCCTCGGTTTTTTGCCCTGCCAAATATATCTCGAAATCACTCTTTGCCATTCTTTGAAGTTTTTTACCCCTCTTACTACTGGAATCATCTGGAATAAAAATAACATCCGAGGTAGTACGCTCATCTTAATCATTGCTATTCTGCCCCAGAAGGATAATTTTAGCCTACTCCATCCTTCTAAATCTTTTTTAATTCTATTCCATACCGGGACATAATTGTTCTGAAACAAATCAATGTTCCTTGATGTTAGCCACACTCCCAAATATTTAACCTTTTTGACAATTTCTATTCCTAAGTCCTGTTGCAACACCTCCATCATTCTTTGATCCATATTCTTAGTTAGAATCTTAGTTTTCTTCTTATTCAGTACAAAACCCGCCATCTCGCCAAATACCTCTATTTCCTTTAATACTTCCGTTGCATTACTCAACGGATCCTCCACCGTTATAACCACGTCGTCAGCAAAGGCTTTGATCTTATATTCATTTTTCCCCACTCTCACTCCCTTTATTCTTTCATTTTTCCTGATTGAGTTCAAAAGGGTCTCCAAGATCATTATAAACAGCAGAGGTGAGAGGGGACAGCCCTGTCTTGTGCCTTTTGATATTTTAATCTCTTCCGTTATTACATTATTTATTATCAACTTTGCTCTTTGATCTGTATATATCGCCTTTATACCATTGAGAAAATCATTCCCCATTTCCATGTATTCCAAATTTTTCAACATGAAGTCCCATATTATGTTGTCGAATGCCTTTTCGGCATCCACAAACATTAGCATTGCTCGCTTCTCATTCCTAGCTGACAGAAGTTCCACAATATTTATTATTTTCCTCATATTATCTCTCATCTGCCTGCCGGGAAGGAAGCCTGCCTGGTCCTCATGTATAACTTCCTGTAAAACCTTTTTTAATCTCCTAGCCATTACCCCTGTAAAAATTTTGTAGTCTATATTCAATAAGGAGATTGGTCTATAATTCTTCACCTGTGTTGGGTCTGCCTCCTCTTTTGGGATAAAGGTTATAAATGCTTCCCTCCAGGTCTCTGGTAACTCTTTCTCTTTTAATATTTTGTTCATTACTTCTTTTAACGGAAGTGTCAACGTTTGTCTCAACTCTTTATAATACCTTACTGTGAAACCGTCTGGTCCCGGCGCTTTCCCATTCTTCAAATCGTTTATCACCACCTTAATCTCTTCACTCTCAATCGGAGCATTCAAGCTCTCCCTTGCTTCTACCGAAATCTTTTGTACCTCTTTCTCTTTCAGATATCTCTCTATTTTCCTCTGATTATTCTTTTCCTTATTTCTATATAGTTGGCTATAAAAGTCCAGAAATCCTTTTCTTATACCTTTTGGGCTAATTATTTCTTCTTCTTTTACTTTAATTTTATATATCGTCCTTTGCTCTTTCCTCTTCTTAATCTGCCACGCAAGCCACTTTCCCGGTTTATTTGCAAACTCAAAACTCTTTTGTTTCAAATTTTTAATGTGCCATTCTATCTCCTTATTAATTATCATTGCGAATTGTGTTTGTAGGGCCTTTATACTCTGCCTGATTTTTAAGTTGTTTGGTTTCTTAATTAGTTTTTGTTCGTATTCCATAATTTGTTTTAAGATTTCATTCTTACTTTTCTCCCTATTCTTTTTTTTTGATTGAGTTTTGTTGTATACAAAACCCTCTCATTACCGCCTTTCCTGCGTCCCACACTGTACTTATTCTCGTCCCCTTGTTGCAGTTATCCATAAAATATTCATTCAATTTTTTCTGGGCATCTTGTGTAAATTTTTGATCATCAAATAGATTATCATTTAATCTCCATCTAAATGTTTTTTCTACAAAGCTTTTAATTTCTAATCTAATCGGGTTATGGTCTGAGATTACTCTTGGTTCGATTTCCACCTGGAGAGTTCTTGGAACCAGTTCTCCTGAAATCCAAATTTGGTCAATTCTTGATAACGACTGATTTGGGTCGGAATAAAATGTGAATTGTTTGCCCAATGGGTTTCTTAACCTCCAAATATCTATTAGATTGCAGCTCTTGACCAATTCAAAAAATGTTTTAGGTAGTTTCCCTTCTTTTACTCCACCCTCCCTTAATCTATCCATTTCTAATGAAACCACCCCGTTCATATCCCCCATCAAAATTATCTTTTGGTTCACATATTCCAATAGTCTCTCTTCCAAATTTTTATAGAACTCAGTTTTGTTTCCATTGGGTGCATAAATCCCAACAATAATTATTTTTTCACCTTGCCACTTTATCTGCACCCCCAAAATTCTCCCTTCTTCATCCTTGAACATTTGTTGAGTTTCTAAATTGCTTTTTATGTACATAATCACCCCCCTTTTCTTATCTTTATCTGAGGAAATAAATTCATTCCCCAGTCTTTTATTTACCAAGATCTTCCTATGTCTTCTTGCCACGTGTGTCTCCTGCAAGCAGATTACATCTAGCTTTTTCCTCTTTAGAAACTGTTCCACCTTATTCCGTTTTTTTTATCGTTCAGACCATTAATATTCCAATTCCATAGTTTTAGTGTCATTTCGCTTTTTATTAATAAAGTTATCCCCCTCCAATTATTTAATTATTTAATTTATAATCTTTCCTCTTCTTCCTCCCTGTCCTCCTCCTCCTCTTCTTCTTCTTCCTCATCCGGTTTTTCTCCAACTTTTCTCCTCTGTTCCCCATCCAGTTGTCCTTTTACTTCCACTCTCCCTGTTGCACCTTTAATTTCCTCCTCCTCCTCTATCAGTAGTTCTTTATATTTCCTTTGAAATTTACCTATTTCTTCCGGACTAGTCAGTCTGTGCCTTTTATTTTTGTAAGTGAAAGATATCCCTTCCGGGAACTCCCATTTGAACTCTATGTTATTCTTTTTAAGAATCTGTACCTGTCTTTTGTAGGGGTCTCTCCGTTTTAACAGTCTAACTGGAATGTCTTTAAATATAATTATATAACTTCCATCAATCGATAATCTTTTTTCTCTGTTTTTTTGCAGTACCAAATTTCTCATATCTCTGTCCTTAAATATTATAAGACAATCCCCTGGATATTTCTTTGGTTTAATTGTCCTCACTTTCATTCTAAAGACATTCTGTACAGTACTTGCCACCTCCTCTACTTGGATCTCCAACCATTGTGCTAGTTCTTTCACCACTTTTTGCCTAATATTTTCTCCTTGACTCTCTGCTATCCCCCTTAACCTCAAATTAGTTTCCCGTTGCCGGAGTTCGTTCATGGAGATGGCATCCCACAATTCTTCTTGAACCTTATTAGATTCCAGTAGTCCCACCCTTATTTTGTCCTCCTCTCGCTTCAAATCTTTCAAATCCAGTTTCGTCCTTTTCATTCCTTCCTCTAGCACATGAGTTCTTTTGGTTACTTCTTTAATTTGTCCCTTCAATTCGTTTACTGTTTCATCTATTTTCTTGTCCATTTTCCCAATCTTTAAATCTACCTGCTCTATCTTTGTTTCCAAATTCTTTTCACTTTGTCTGATATCTGCGAACATCTTTAATATCTCTGATCTGAAATCCGATTCTTGCTTTGATCCCTTTCTATCTGCCGGAGTCCCCCCATTCCCCCCTTTCTTTGACACATGTGACATTTTGGGCTACAGTATCTTATTTCCCTTACTCAGTCAGTTGATACTATATTAATGATATGTTAATAATTTACACTACATCCCCCCACTCAACCGAGTCAGAAGGAAAAGAGAAGAGCTAACAGAAAGCAAGAAATGGGTAATTAAATTGTAGTTCTTCCCAGTTCTTCCCAATCTAAATTAAATTGTATCCTCAGACATCAGAGAACCCCAACATCGGAGATCCCCAACAAATTTACCAAATGTCCCAAAGGCCCCCCAACCGTCTCAATCTGTTCAATAATCAGTTATTAAGTTATGGTATACAATATCCCATTTCGCCCAGTAGTCGATTCTTAATTCTTCTTGCCCCAATTGGGCTATTCCTTTTAAACTTGTCTATGTGATTAGTATTTTCTTAATCTTCTTGCCCTCATTCGGGCTAGATCCCCAAGATTCCCGAAACTCTCAAATCAATCTGGGAATATCGATGTAGCCAGAGGAGACAAAAAAAAAAAGAAGAAAGAAAAAAAAAGAAAAAAGGCAAAGAAAAAAACAAGTTGTAGTATCGCCCCTTTCCACCAGGGGTCCGTTCCCGGCACGTGACAAACTTAATATCCAATTTTTAATTTGGGGAAGTTTTCCAGAGTTTTTCCAATCCCTTCCAAAATAAACAGGAACGGCAGCTCATAAGTCATTAACAGAAAGAATTAAAACCAAATACCTTCTTCTTTTCCTCCAAAACACATCAACTGCGGCTAAATAATGCTCTCCAAACCGTAATGGAGACCGGACGTTGGCTTAATGAAATCTCCTTATGCGGAGCTTCCGAAGTCAGTACTAAAGTACAATTGAGCTCCTCTCCTTTCTTCCGTCATACGAGGATTTGGGAATTCAAAAAAGTAACTCAATATTGTCGCTTTGCTCCCCTCCACCTTTCTCTTTTGCCAATTAGTTTGTCTCCCCACTGCAAACAACAGCAAGCGGTAAACCTTGTGGAGAGGGAGAGAACCATTCACCGCCAGCGTCCCACATACATTACTCCGCCTTGTTTAGTTTTTTGCGTCCGTAATGACTCCCGATGTAGAGTTAAGCTCTTAATTCACTTCCTTCTTTCAAGTCTTTCCTTAAGTATTCTTTCCAGTTGTCTCAACTCTTGTTTAGACTCGAATCTATTTTTTTTGAGAATCCAGCGCTTCTCCTGCAAGCTCGGGGCTTCACTTTTCCGGAGGCAGCTATGGCTTCCCTCAGCCTGTTTCTCCCCCCGCCGTACTCTTCGCTCCAGAAACCGGAGTTACCTGACGGCCGAGGAGACCACGCTCGGCTGCGCGGGATCCGATGTATCTGGACACCCTCCAGACACTTTTCAGGGGACCACTGCGCCCTGTGGCACCCCTATTTTCCTCCGGAAAGTTCGGGATTCTCCGCAGTGAAGAAATCCCCGCCTGCGTTGGAGTCGCGCTGAACCGGAAGTCCCCTTTTTAAAAGCCATCTCAGTTGGTGGTCATCACTGCCTCCTGTGGGAGTTCCATAGTTTAACTGTGCATTGCGTGAAGAAGTGCTTTAGACAATTAGAATTACAATTTCTAAATATGAATACCAGAGGGAAAAAGAGATAATTTTTACACAGCATGATGTGATTTGATTAAATATACAAATTAAACAACATGTGGACAAGAAATACCTACAACTTATATTGCAATATGGTATAGACAAGCAGGCACTGCTCATTAGCTCACTGCTATTATTCTGTGTTTTCCAAGTTGATTCGTTGAACAATTCATTGAACTGGTTTTCTGTAATCACTTCATTATTATGTTCCGTAAAATAATATGTTTAGTATTTTACACCCCCACACCCCCGTGGCCCCTATTTTTTTGTCAGTCGTCTCATGTTTTATGATTTATGTGTGTGCAATTTTGTAACAGTAAAATGATAAATAAAATATAACAAACAGAGAGCATTAAATCAAGCTAACAAAACAAAGCTGCAAGCAGGTAGGAATTAAAATAAATCAAAGGCATGGCAAATTAAGAAGACTAATCACCTGCCTAAAAATCATTATTGAGGAGACTTGTCTCTTGGGAGGGAGTTCCATAGCTGAGGGGCTGCAATAGAGAATCGGATCTTTTTTGCATTTTAATTGGCACAAATGTGGCTTTGAGTATTATAGAAAAGGCAGCATAATGTAGGAAAGAAAATGATTAAAACAATGTGTATTCACCCTTGAGGAACTTGTTACTGTATGTTTACATGACTAATAAGTTCCTTTCTGATCAAATTAGTAACTAATCTCTTCCCTTTCTCTGTTACTGTAGTCTTCCTCCCAATCGACATTAAATGTAAGCTCTTTGGAGGAAAGGATCTGTCCTCCTTGCTTAACTTGCTGTGTGTATTCTGAAGCTTTTGTCCAAATATTATATTGCAAGAAATGCACACAAAAAGTTGGGTGTAAAATCTTAAGATATTTTAATTAGTTTTCAACATTTGTAGGATGTGGAGGAGCAAGATAGTGTATCCAATACAGGGCAGTGAGCCGGCCGTTAAATCCTTCATTGCTAAAAGCATCGCTCAGATGCACATTAGATTCTGAATCATATGTTGCCCATGCACATGTTTCTGTTCAGCTTGTGAGTTTGATTTTTAAGCTGAGACTCTGTACTTCTACACCAGATCTTAGGATAAATACGCTTTATTAAAGTATTGATCACAGACCAAAGTCTAATGTTTTTAATTCTTGCTGTATACATTTTCCCCCTCAACTTAAAGCAATCAGGCAATTTGCATGCTGGAAAGACGGGAGAAACCCACTCCAGATATGTTTGGAGAGCTGCTACAAAATGCCAGCACCATGGGGGACTTGAGAAACTGTCCGGTGTGTATATGCTGTTTTCCTTTAATAGAAGCAGTAGTCTGAATGGTATCTACTGAAATCTGTGTCTACCTGTATTTAATTGTAGAATCCGCCATGTCTTAATTCATCCGCATACTAGAAATAGTAGAAAATATTGCTGGTTTCATAATGGAAATTGTACAAGTTTGTGTATGACTGTCAATTGTCAATATTGTCAATGTTCTAACTGGGTGAGGTTTTCTGACTCCCTCCTTGTTTCATATTGTCAGTTTACTTAAACTCACTGTGGGTGCTTCCAGCCAAAGAAACCGGCACCACCTGCACTTGTATTTACTTTGTGAATCAGTTACATTTCAAGCCCTTTCTATCTTAGAGCAATATATTTGGGGTAGAAAGAGGTCAGGATTTGAGAGGATACTAAACAACAGGAAGCCGCATTAATTCCAGTTTTAGTTAACCTGGGACTTTATTTGTTACTCTTTTTTTCAGAGCAACTGTGGGGAAAAGATTCGCATTCGTCGTGTACTGATGAACTCTCCCCAGATCATCACTATTGGGCTGGTGTGGGACTCGGATCACTCTGATCTGGCTGAGGATGTAATTCACAGCCTCGGCACCTGTCTTAAACTGGGAGATGTAAGTACATTCTATAGCAATTCTATAGCAATATGTCTCTTCTCCTTTTTTTGTTTTTTGTTTTTGTTTATGCCACTGCTGTTAAATTTTTGTTCCTTTTTACTATCAAATGGACTGCATGGGCTAGATTTAAGGTTGAGCTAAATAGTTAACTTCCTTTCTTTTCTTTTTAAAAGAAAAAATAATAATGACCTTTCAGTAGTTTTTAGATGTAATTTCCATACAAAAGACAATACATTTTTTGCTTTTTCCTCTCCTTTTTTAAAAGCTTTTCTTCAGAGTAACTGATGACAGAGCAAAACAATGTGAACTGTATTTGGTTGGAATGATCTGTTACTATGGAAAACATTACTCTACCTTCTTCTTCCAAACAAAGATCCGCAAGTGGATGTACTTTGATGATGCTCATGTCAAAGAGGTAAGAAAATTAGATTTGTTTATTTGAAAGTTCAGTAAAGATGTTTGGGTGTTTGTGAGAATGTGGGTCTATTCTGTGTTTCCTAAAGATTTTTAGATCATTTTAGGATGGGTTTTCACGTTTCAGCTCATACTTGCTTCACCTCATGCAACTTGTTCTTGCACAGCTTTCATTTATTTCCAGGGATCTCCTGCTGGAAACGTGCAAAGTAAGCTGTGCTCATTGCTTCTAAAAGTGTCACTCACTAGGAAGGCACTTTATTCTTGAGAGCAGAGGCTGGTGTTCATGTAGCGGCTGCTATATGGAGGGCATTTTAAATCACTTCGTGCAGTGGCTCTCCATGTAGAGAATGGTTACAGATTATTATTCTAGGGACAACTGCATATCATTTGAATAAAACAGAAATGGGCTACCTCCCTATAGCAATATGTGTTCTGGTCCATATATCTAGAGAGCTGTGCAGGGCAAAGGCAGGTTCTTATAGAAAAGTGATCACTTAAGAAGGAAAAAGAATGATGAGTGTGAGGGGAGGGTATCAGAGAAACATGGAGGAGAGCAGAAAAAATAGGAGGCTTACTTAACCACACCTTCCTTTTGACTATACATGATGGATGCCCTTTCTGATATATGTTCCCCCCGCAGCATGTGTAATATTTGGTTGTGTGATATATGAGTGGTATTTCTTTCTACGTTTGCATTGTCCATTGCTGAAATTGTTCCTGGCTGGCAGTGCTGCTTGTGTCTACATTTCAAATACCTGTGGACTTGTATACAGCACAACCACCAACGCCTGATATCATGACACTTGGTGCATTGCTCAGAGTTTAACATTTGGGTCATTTGTTGGAACCCTTCAATTTATAAGCTTTATGTCTTATTCCCTTCTTCTCAGGTGTTTCTGTACAGCTGGCCTTTGCAAAGCTTGTAGCTGAATGAATCATAAATGGCTTATGTAGTTCACCCATCAGTGGCCTGTCCCAGCTGGTTCCCCATTCTTTTTCTTTCTGCAAAATGAAATACAACAGACTGTAGCAGATGTTGGCTAGTGCAAACATGCCATCATTTAAGCCTGCTGTTTCCTAATTAGAAGTTCTTTTCTCTTGCTGCTCTGGATGAAGTACTTGCTATGAAATCTATCATTTTGAGCATACAGTTCACTTTGATATTCTCTGTGGTTCTCATCTTCTGTTCCTACTTGTCAAAAGCCAAAAAGTAACAAAAGGAACCATCCTATTGCAATGTGAATATTCACAACCCCTAAAAGAGGAACTTTACCTCTTTAATTTATTTTTGGTTGTCTTTCTTTGCCGTAAGATACCTGTATTTAAAAAACATCCCTGTGTAAGGATAAAATGCATTTTAAGGTGTTTGCTTCAGTGCATGTCTGTGAAGTACAGGTGGTGACCATTTTGCATGGGGGTTCCGTTCTTGGCCCCCATGTGCATTAGTGGAGTGTACATAAGCCTGCCCCACCCTGTTCTGCCACCCATTCTGCTCTCTTCTGGGTCCAAAATGGACACGTGCGTAATGGTCACCACCTGTACGAAACAGAGTAGTGGTTATTGGAACACTCAGAATGCTACTTGTATTTTACATGCTGTACAAATCTTTTTCTGTATATTCATTCTGATGGACATCAACACTTTGATCTTGAAAGTATGTGTAACTCAAATTTAAATAATTAAGAGGTTTTGTCAACAGTAAATACTTATTGGCATATCATTTTCATTTTTAAGGCTTTTCGACTCATTTTATATCTCAGAATGTTACTCCATTGCTACATTAAATCTTTTGTATGTAAGTTCATAATGGTCAATCAACGTTTGATTCCTGCCTGCCTCTCTGCCAAGACCAATGTCTTTTTCATATTATGGTGGCAAAGGAGGGAGGCTGAGCAATTCTGGCAAGGGACCAGGAGATTTAGAGTAGTAGGTGCACAATCACATCCAAAATCCTATTGGCTCATGCCAGCCACATGGAGGGTAAGGTGGTGCTTTAAGCTGGTGAAACTGGAGGACTGGGCCTTTAAGCAGATCCATGTAGCTTTGAATCCATCATATAAAAAGCTACCCCCACCCCTCCCCTGAAATGGTCCATTTCAGAATTTCCCACTGGCTACTGCTGGTGAAAAGGCTACTGCATGCTGTCCTTGTCCTCAACTACCAGCTTTTTGTCTGCATGAAGAAATGTGCTCATGAGAATACAAATTATCACTAAAATCTTTAAATCACATAGTCCAAAAAACCCAAACCCCTCTCCAGTGAGTACTACATTTGCTCATAGAGCATGCTGGGGGGGGGGTAAGATTTCGTGACTTTCTCTAACTGTAAGCATTAACACTCATTCAGAAGAAATAAAAGAGAATTATTTTTAATGTAACCTAAGTTCGGTGTGAATCTCCTTTGACTACTGATGTGTTAGATTTTATCATAATTCCAACTAAATGCAGGTAACCTCTACTAAGATGTGTTTTGAACTTTTCCAAAAATTTCAGATAGGTCCAAAATGGAAAGATGTTGTGACCAAGTGCATTAAGGGTCATTATCAACCCTTGCTACTACTATATGCAGACCCGAGAGGAACTCCAGTGTCAACGCAGGACCTTCCCACACAGGTGGACCTACAACAGTATAGCAGGACCTACTATGATAGTGAAGACTCAGGTAATCTTTGAGCACTCTAGTTTCAGAGTTTTGCGTGTATTTTTGCCAGTCACCAAGATTTATGGTTTTTGCCTGGTGAAATAACAGAGGAGTGGCAAAGAAACCCTGCTGGATAAGAGATGGTGTCAAAGTGTTCTCCAAAACTCAGTATGCAAATAAAATACCAGATACCAGACTTGGAATCATTTGTTACTGTTAGGCTGCCGCAGTGCAGGTTGTGGCCTTCTGGTGAATCCTCAGGTGCTTAGATTTCATACTGAAAAACACAAGAGGGAACTGACAAGGACTTGCAGAGGAGCAAGGCAGAAGTCAGGGGCAAGTGATTCTCTAAATTCTTCTGCCTACCTGTTCTTTTCCCCCACAAGGAATTGACCATTGCACAGGGTTAGATTGGGTTTAGATGACATTTCACCTGAGCCCAGTTCCTGTCTTGCAGCAGCGTCAGTTCACACAGTTGCCAATCACTGTAGGTTTGATGTTTTTGCTTTTGCCGATGCTGCATTTGATAGGAGATTCTCCCTTGGTGAAGCTTTTGCAACCTACTTGTGTCCTCGCACTTTTGCCATTTTGCTGCTGAGCTACATCTTGAAGTCTACTGAATTCCTGATTTGGAAGCAGGAAATCTTCCCCATAATTCCTGTTCTTGAGGAACAAAGGAGGGACTATTTTCTCACTTGTTTTTATGGGTTTGACTCATCATTTTTATGGGTTGGGCTCATCATTCTGAACAACAACAGCTCCACAAGGAAGGGCAAATCACGACTAGCTCTTCCTCCTGCCTTGAAGACTGGAGGGCATAACTCAGCAGCAATTAATTCCTTCATTTCATCTTTGAGAAGAGGAATGTATGAACTAAAAATTCATTCCCCCCCCCCCAAATGCTTTCCATGTATCATGTGAGGTAGCAAAGGCCCAGGGAGATATATTCATTGTTCTCTTGAATACTTGCCACCGCTAGAGCATCTTTCAGAAGCACCGTAAGAGCTTTCCATTTAATGAACTGTTTGGTGTGACAGGGAGCTAGGTTAAAATGCTACATCTGTCCCAGTGCTATAGGAGCATTTTCAGTTGATTTCGACTTACTTGCAGTAATGCATCCAGCCATGTGCCCTCTAGTCCCCTTCCCTTCCTGACTGGTTGAAGCTAGTTGGAGGAGGATGATCAGGTAGACCAAGGGTGTTGTGAACACATCATTGTGTGATGGGGTGCTGCCTGCAGACCTTAAGGTGGTGGTGGTGTCCCCTCCAACCCAATGGTGTGTAATAAGTACTGTCCAGTCACCAATACCCCATCTTGAACAACTTGTGTGCAGGATACTTTAAGTGCCACCTGAGTCCTTATATCCTAGTTTGATCACTCAGCTCATCCAGAGTACTGCTGTTATTTATCCCCGTGTTTCAGGAGCCGACTGGCTTCAACTAGCAGTCCAGCAGTTAGTGTTGCCAGACCCATGCTGTGGAATAGTCTTCCAGCAGAGATTCAGACATCTCTTGAAGACCTTTTAAGGTCAACAGGCTATTCAGTAGTTTAAACTTTTGCAAGATGAGATGCTTATTTTGTATTGGTTTATGCTATTTTATGTTGTATTATACTTGCATATTTTGCTGTACACCACCTTAATATTTTAGATGAGTGGGTTTTTAAAAAATTTTTTTGAATAATAAGAGTTTTTTTGTAAGGTAATTAAAACATTTCCTGTGCTTTTGAGGAAATTTATCAATTGCAAAAAAAAAAAGGTTGTTCTTGGCCGCACTGAGATATGTTATTATGCACAGTGATTGTTGTACACCATTGTAAAACACTGCTCAGTTACTGTTTTCCATCTTAGCCCTTTTCAGATTTGCCCTTTCTAATTCTCCTATAATTTCTTTTTATCAGGGCGTGAGCCTTCTATCGCAAGTGACACTAGGACAGACTCTTCTACAGACAGCTATCCCTATAAACATTCCCACCACGAATCTGTGGTCAGTCACTTCTCTTCTGATTCTCAGGGAACTGTCATTTACAACATGGAAAACGATGTAGCTTCACAAAGCAGCAGGGACACAGGTAATCATTTTCTTCATTTAAGGCAAACACAAAGTTGGCCTTGTTATGAGCTACACTGAGCCACATGGCTTAAGCAAGTTGTGAGGATACAGCATGGAGGAGACAACTGCTACCTTGATCTTTGTTGAAGAAATGTAAAATATAATTGCAACACATGAATATGCTGGTGTGAAATGAATAAGGAGCTCTTTTTGGATGTGGCCCAGTCTGCTCCCACGCCCGCAAGAGGGAGTTGCTGAATAATTAAAACACCAGCAACACAGCATTACACAAAATATATTCAAAACAATGTGTTGTTTCCCCCACACCAGGCTTTATTTCCGTTGGTTCTGTTTTCATGGTTTGCAAATGTTTGAAGTTTTAAATATGCTACAGTAATAGGCTCCTAGGGACGCGGGTGGCGCTGTGGGTAAAAGCCTCAGCGCCTAGGGCTTGCCGATCAAAAGGTCGGCGGTTCAAATCCCCGCGGCGGGGTGCGCTCCCGTCGTTCGGTCCCAGCGCCTGCCAACCTAGCAGTTCGAAAGCACCCCCGGGTGCAAGTAGATAAATAGGGACCGCTTACAAGCGGGAAGGTAAACGGCGTTTCCGTGTGCGGCTCTGGCTCGCCAGAGCAGCGATGTCACGCTGGCCACGTGACCCGGAAGTGTCTCCGGACAGCGCTGGCCCACGGCCTATAGAGTGAGATGGGCGCACAACCCTAGAGTCTGGCAAGACTAGCCCGTACGGGCAGGGGTACCTTTACCTTTAATAGGCTCCTAGCCCTAATAAGAGAGGAAGGTGAGCCAGAAAAGGGGGTTGAAGCAGGTATCACTGCTATGTAAACATGTAATTAGTTGCAATTAACTACCGTATTTTTCGCTCTATAACACGCACCTGACCATAACACGCACATCGTTTTTAGAGGAGGAAAACAAGGGAAAAAACATTCTGAATGAAACAGTGGATGTATCATTTTTGTGCTTCATGCTGTGGCCACAGACATGTGCTCTGATGGTGAATTTGGGGTGACCCAATGCAAAGATCCTGAGGATCCATGTGGATCCATGCTTTGTAACCACGTTTTTGCACCATTGCAGCCCCAGGCAACAGTGGGTGTGTGATTTTTGGGGGGCAGGCTGTAGCCATGGACATGCTATGTGATCTGATGGTGAATTTGGGGTGAGCCAATGCAAAGATCCTGACGATCCATGTGGATCCATGCTTTGTAACCACATTTTAAGTGGAGAGGGAAGGAAAAACACAGAAGGGACAAGGAGCACGAGAGGGGTGTGCAGAGAAGCAGCTGGCTAAGAATGCAGGAGAGGGGTATAACGGGAGGGAGGAAAGGAAGGCAAAAGTTTTCCCCCACCCAAGCACCTAAGCCAGCCAGCTTGCGCTCTCTCTCTCTCTCCCACCTGCATGTTTTCAGCAGCACCGGAGCACAGAGAGGAAGGAACGACACTCTGCTTTCCCCTCTGCTTGCCTGGAGGGGAGGGGCTTTCCCTGCTCTTTGTTCCGTTTGAGCAAACACAGCAACGAAACAGAGGAGGGTGGGCAGTAAGACCCTGAGGCAGAATGCAGGAAAGCAGCCGCTTCCTCTTTTCAGGTTTCCTTTCTCCGAGACGCGCGATTTGATTTTTGCCTCCACTCGCCCCAGTCGGCTCCAGGGACCACACATTAGCTCAATAACACGCACAGACATTTCCCTTTCCTTTTTAGGAGAAAAAATCTGTGTGTTATAGAGGGAAAAATACGGTAATTCACCCTGTGCATCCTTACCTGCTGAGTTACCTGGTGCCCTGTGTAGTTCCCATGGTGATCAGAAGAGTTCATGCTGGGTCCAGTATATGTAATCTTTGTATCTATAAGTTCTTTCAGTTTCCATGGGAACCATACAGGCTGGTGAACAGCAAACATGAAATCTTTTTCTTTCAAAATATTAATATTTAAGGACTTTCTCAAAGCTTGCCCTTGTCAAAATTTTGTATTGTTTCATCTCTAAATTTCAGGTTCACTTATTACTTTCCCCTGAAGTACTGGGAGGGGCAGTTATCTCCTATTGGCTATGGGCAAAGTCTAGTTGCTGGGGCTCCATTAGAAAGAGACTTGTAGGCATATAGTGATGCAAAGATATGTTCCAGACCTTATGGGCAATTTAAAAAGTAACATCATCGTTATTGTTGTTTCAATGCCACTTTTATAGAAACAAATATAAAGGCAGTTTACAACACATTAAAACATCAAATAAAACAGCAGAATAAAACAAATCACTGCATCCAGATGACATCTACTCTCAGAGAGGACTTAAATAGCTCAGAGAGGAAGTTGTTGATCTGACAAAAACATTTAACTTTCCCCTAAGATTGGTCTTCATAACAATGGACTAGAAAATGGCCATTGCAGTGCTCTTTCTTTTTTTAAAGTAATGGGGCGGGTGGCGGCGGCGAGGAATGCAGAAAATTGCAAGCCAGTTAGCTTAACATCTATTCTAGGTAAACTGTTGAAACACAGATTGCTAAAGATAAATTTATCAAGCATATGGAATAGAGTGATGGACAAATCTTGCTGAAGAAGGATCAGTATGATTTTTGTAAGACAAATTTTATCTCACTAACTTTTTAGATTTTTGTTAAGAGTTCCAGTGAGCCCGCTGATCTTCTTTTAATTGGGGGGAGGGAGGGAATCTGGAATGGCGCAGCCATTGCCGAGAGCAGAAATGCTCCAAGAAGGTTTTCCTGATCAGTTTGTACAGCTGGCTGATGACACAGTGAGTCAATGCCAGTACTAGGGCACAGCAGAGACATTTGGGATATTAGGTTGGGGATGCGAAGAAGGTAGTCAGGAGAGAAACCAAGCTATAATGTAACAAGCTTGATCATCTGTGGTACGACTGGAAGTTTAACCATAGTTTGTTAACCAAAGCATGACTTAGCGTCACATGCAAACCAGACCATTGTTGGGTGGGGGGTAAGTAAGGGACAGATGATGGGAGCTGTATGAAATTATGCATGGTATGCAGAAAGTAGATAGAAACCCCTTGGGGGTTATCTCCAGGGTCATCTGGAGAAGATGGATGGTGGGAGGCAAAAGGAAGTACTTCACAAAACACACAGTTATACTTCTGAATTCCCTTCATAAAATATTACCATTTTGATGGCCACTAATTTAGACAGCTTTAAAAGGTCATTGAACAAATTGATTGAGGATAAGGCTAGCCATGTCTCCCAATCATGACATCTGTACCATGCCTCTGAATAGGAGATGTTGGAGAACAACTGTGGCAGAGGACTGTTGTGTTCAGCCTCTGCTTTTGGGCTTCCCATAGGCAGCTGACTGATCACAGAGAGAAACAGGATGGTGGACTATATAGGCTTTTGGTCTCATCCAACAAGGCTCTTCCTACATTCTTTGCATACCATGTTGTTATAGAAGAGCTCAGGTATGGAAAGGGAATATATATGTATTTGAGAAGATGAGAGGAAGTTCTTCTGAGCTGTAAGGCAGAACTGCAAGGAAACAAAACTAGAAAATGATCCCTTCCTCTTCTTGTTACATACATTATTAAATTTATTTTCAACCTTTTCAGACTTGATTCCCCCTCCCCCCATTATTATCTTACACAATATGCTGAATTTCTGAACTGAGGTGGCCAACGTCTGACTTTCCTAGATGTAGCTGGACTCTAGTTCCCATCAGCTCTAGTAGTCAGGAAAGATGGCAGTTGTAGTCTAGCAACATCTGGACCAACCACAGGTTCTCCACCCCTGTTCTCAACTGGGCTGATAGCTGTGGTATGATACCAAGAAAAGACCATAAGTGCAGCAGGAGGAAGAGTGAAACATAGGTATTCACATTCGCTTGGAGAGATGCATGAATTCTGTCTGTTAGTATGGTAGTACTGAAAGGTGCTAGTGGCCCCGGAGGATTTTGAGCCAAAGCTCAATGCATTGCCTCCCGTCCCTCTGTATTAGCTATTTAACTTACCACATCTAGATGGATAGTTGCTTTTATTATACTGTAACTCTTCACTTCCAGATACACTTACTGAAAGCTATTCATTTTACTCAGCTCTAGCATTAACCGGCAGTTTGTGGGGAGTGAAAAAGGTCTGCTATTCTTAGAATGCAACACAGCCAATTGGAATGCTCTTTCCATCTGAAGTATATTCTTTTCTTTCAGGACACCTGACTGACAGTGAATGTAATCAGAGGCATATTTCCAAAAAGGGCTCGCTGACAGACCGCAAGAGGAGTTCCAGCAGGTCTCGGAAAAAGGGAGATGAATCACAGCCGTCAGGATATCACAGTGAAGGCAAGAAGAATGGTTTAATTCTTCTGTGTGTCTGTCCAGCATAGATTGAATCTCTTCTTTTGCCTCTGCCAGTTTAGAAAGATGATAAAAGTACGGTTAATTTAAAAGAAAGTTGTGTAGCTCATACTGCCTTCTGCTTCTATTCTTGAGCTGCAGGGGAAACATTGAAGGAGAAACAAGCCCCCAGAACTGCCCCTAAGACATCCAGCAGTACCAGCAGGCTAAGGGAATTTAAAGAGACTGTCAGCAACATGATCCACAACAGACCATCACAGACAAGCCAGGGCTCTCCACGAACAGGGAAGGATCAGGCTGAGATACAGTCACTGCCCAGAGCTCTGCCTGCTCTGTCTCGAGACTGGGAAATGGAGAGCACAAGCAGCGAATCCAAATCAAGTTCTTCTAGCAAGTACCGTCCAACTTGGAGACCCAAAAGGGAGTCACTGAACATAGACAGCATCTTCAATAAAGAAAAGAGGAGACAATGTGGTTACACACAACTCAGCCCCTTCTCTGAGGATTCAGGTAAGAATTTGGGAGAGGTGTGGGTTGCAAGAGTATGAAAAATGCATACATTTTTTTTATTAGTCACTATGTAGAAACAACTGATAACATTCTTAACTAGTATGCATAGCCAGTACATTTTCTTACACTGTATCAGATGAATCTGTGAGGGAAGCCTGAATTATCCTTTGTGCCATTTTGACCCTGTGAACAACGTGTTTGCTGAAATATTTCAAACACACTCAAAGGTCTATATTTTCATTGTGAGAGGTCCTTTCGTCATTCCCTTTCACTTGTCTATGCAAAACACAGCAGTCATATTTTGCTTTTTCCTGCTGTACAGTAATTTAGGACGCTAGATTAGAAAAGCAATTGAGGACAGCTACTCACTACTGTTTCTGTTGAATCTCTCTGACAGTGAAATTGACTGATACAGAATCAGCGAGTGCCTAACCCTGGTTTGCCTCGAATAGAAAAGCCCTTTAATTGTCAAACCAAAACCCAGTCTTCAGTAAGGAAACATCAGAAACTATATTCTCCGTGTGAAAATGGAAGATGGGCGTACTCGCTAATCCTGCTCCTGCTTATCCATAATGGTTAGGGATGCAAACTTTTTTTTTTTAAGCAAGAAACCTGCAGAAGGAATGGTGAAGACATTTTGAAGTGGTCTCCACTTCAGAGGTTTCAGAATTAGGGTTGCTTGGATTTAGGGTGAAAAAATTTGAGGCTGTTTAATGGTGTAGCAATTGGATGGGAAGGAGGTAGTGGAAACTATTGATACGCTCTATAAGAATTGGAAATTGCTGAGAATTCAATAGAAATAGGAAGACAGGCATCTTTCTAGGTGAATTAAAGAAATCGAGACAGGAAGGATTGATTTACATAACCAATTTCTATCACCAAGTAGAAACAACTCATTTAAAGCATTTGTTTTAATTAAAACTAATTTATTTAGATGCTTCTTTAACATGAATATAACCTTTATGCAAACTCAGGTCCACCCTCCAAGATTCTGAAATACTTAACTTTAATAAAACGTTATACAGTGCACTGCTTATTTTTAGATAATAAACCAATTGCAGGGATCAGGTAGTTGCAAAGCATAAAATAGGTGCAAAAAGGTCACTCGGATAAATCAGTGGAATAACAATTCTGACCTGACCTGGCCCCAATTTCAAGCCATAATCTAGGTATAGGATGACAGATTTTGACGATTTTCCTCACAGGATTTGCTTTGCCAAAGCAAGCAGCTTTTCATCATTGTTTATGGTTGTGTTTATTGTACATCAAGAGCTACTTTCAAACATAGTGGCCACACTTGGAGCACACAGTCCGCTAACTCATAATCTTAATTTACTAGGTATTGATCTGCACAAAAAAGATAATAAGCAGAGCACAATTAACAAGTTCTTTGCAAAGCAATGCAGGAGGTTTTGTGGCTTGAAAATACTGCTTTGGTAATTGATGAGAGCTCATTCACAACTGAGCATACCCAGTGGGTTTTTGTTTACTTGCTTGCTTCATTCTGTTTGCTTAGGGTTATTTCCAGTCTCTATAGCAACTGACAATCTGTTAAGGGCAAGCTTATTTATCATGTTGATTTGTATTAAAGCCAGATTTCATTTAAACCATTTTTTAAAAATATACTTTCAATATAACTTATTAAAAACCCCAACTTAAATCTGATTTCCAAAAAATCGTCTTTTATCTATCATCATAGTTATGTCTTAGGGGACCCCTATAGAGTTGGGAAGAGGAGCCTGTGGTCCTGCAGACATTGTTGGATTCCCATTAGCCCCAGTCACTCTGGTCAGTTATCTGGGACAATAACATCTGGAAAGCCACAAAGAAGAAAGACTGGTTGCTTACCTGCAGTTGATGTTCTTCAAGTGGTCATCTGTGCAGTCACACAGCCCTGTTGGTGCTCCCCCCCCCAAAAAAAAAAAAAATCTGCTGCCAGTTGGAACTGAATGGAAAAGTCCTTGGCTCACCTCTTTAACCAAAGGTTCCTTGTATTTCTGGGAGGGAAGGGTAGTTGTTGGTTTTCTGGTGAAGGTTCTAGAAGGCACTGGTCCCAGCAGTGTTGAGTGCACTGATAAGAACCGAAAGAACATTAATTACAGATAAGCAATCTTTCTAGGATGCTGAATTGTATAGAGAGTGTGACAGAATAAAATTTGATTCTTCACTCATGTTCTTTGTATCTTATCAGCTAAAGAATTTATGGAAGAGGAGCCAAAGGAGCCAATCTCCCAAACAAGATCAAACCAACCCAACAAGTATAAGCAATGGACTCTAGGTCGGGGTGCGCACTATATGATGGATCAACAACCTCGTCTGATCCAAAGGATGGAATCTGGCTATGAAAGCAGCGAACGCAACAGCAACAGCCCAGTCAGCCTGGACATGCCTTTATCAGAGAGCTCTAGCACCTCCAGGTAAGTTTCATAAAAATATAACCTGGTTCCAATTCCAGTGCTCTAAAGCTCAGTTCACACATTACCCTCGTAATAAATCGTCGCAAGATTTCTCTGTTAACCACATTGGGAGCTTACATGAAGAGATGGTCTGTAAATTAGAATAAATTAAAAATCTGCACAGGCCTCCCAAGGGCTTTCATGGCTGCTAAATTGACAACTGAAGAAGAGTAGAAGAAGAGTTTGGATATGATATCCCGCTTTATCACTACCATAAGGAGTCTCAAAGCCGCTAATAATCTCCTTTCCCTTCCTCTCCCACAACAAACACTCTGTGAGGTGAGTGAGGCTGAGAGACTTCAGAGAAGTGTGACTGGCCCAAGGTCACCCAGCAGCTGCATGTGGAGATGCAGGGAATCGAACCTGGTTCACCAGATTACGAGTCCACCGCTCTTAACCACTACACCACACTGGCTACAGGTGCATGTGTTGAAGGGATGCTTTTCATCTCTCACTTTGCCCCATTCCCCAAGCAGGCAGGGCAGCCAACACTATACTTTCCTTTGCCAACAGTGCCCCACTATCTCTTGCAAAGGAGGAACAAGGAAGTCCCAAACTGTTTACTTTCTTGTTCTATTTGACTTTCGTTATTCCCACCCACTCTTTATGTTATGTTCTAAACTGCAGGCAAGAGGAGCCAAGCAGCTAATATTAGAGATAACAAGGAAGGATAATTGCTGTAGAGTGATTTCCTTGTTTCTCTGTGCGGGAAAACAGTGTTGCTGGGGGACAGAATTGCCCACAGTGGCCAGATAAAGTAGCTTCTGTACCTGTTAAGAGGTTAATGTATAAACTATGCCTAGGATCTTGGCGTTTGAGATAAAATATAAATTCACTACAGTGTTGGAAGTAAACAAAACACCAGAGATTTCAGCCCCTTGTTCTTAACTTTAGACCATTCTATGGGAGTGCATTTTGGGGTTCTAAGGAGCCAGAATGCCATTTGTGAAATACAGGATAGGTCCCTAGCCTCTACTTTGAGGATCTGTATACTTCCAACTGAAAAGGTAAAAATGTTAACTAATGTTGAGGAAGGTATGGAAATCACCTTTTGAAGATCTGGCAGGTCTAAATCCATGGCTTCTAGGGCAAAGGCTATTATTATTATTATTATTATTATTATTATTATTATTATTATTATTATTATTTATACCCTGCCCTCCCCAGCCAAGGCTGGGCTCAGAGCGGCTTACAAGCAATAATAAAAACAAGTTGAATGATTACAACTTAAAAACAGAATTAAAATGCAACATTAAAATATTGAAACATTAAAATATTAAAATGTACAATAATACTGCACTTAAAGTGTAAAAAACACTGGGAGGGCAGGGGAGGAACAAAATGGGGAGGGGTGAGGTGGAAAGGGATTGGTCAGGTGTGGAAAGTGGGTGGCAAAGGCCTTTGTGAGTAGGCAGGGTTGGTGTGTTAGACAAGCAAGGACAGCAGACCCTAGTAGTTCATAATAGAATAACCTTGCTTTTCTTCGGGTTAAAGAGATTCTCATATGAAGCGACCTGGAGCTTTTGTTCCTGCCTGGCGTAACATTCCCAAATCACATAGCAGCAGTATCTTGGAGGTGGAATCTGCACCAACTGCTAGTAGCTGGTCAAAGAACAAGCACGCCATCGGTAATGGTAAGGATTTATTTTCCCTCCTAAAGTACTTGCAGTCCTTGGAGCGTGTTATTTCTATTACTGCCTCCGCCTGCTGGGTTTTTTTTCCTGATCTTACACAAGTAGAAGGCATCAGAGCTGTGGGTATTCCTCACTGTGTCACACTAGCACAAGCTCTTAGTATTGGCGGCAGAGTATCATTGGCTCTCAACACCAAAAGAAAGGCTGGTGAAAGCAACAAGGTGGCAGCTCAAGTGACTGGGATAGGCTGTGAGGGCTCAGAGCACCTGCAGTGCAAACAGAACACACTACATACACAATTTGCTGAATAATCAGGCATATTGAGAAAGGAATGAATCTTTTCTCTTATACTTTCAGTTCCATTTAATAGAAATGCCACTTGACACGTTTTCGGTTGCATTATTTTTGCTTGGTCCTGTGGCAGTGGAGAAAATGAAAAGCAACCACAATTAGAAGTAGGCTGTTGTCATCCAGAAAAATACATGGTTTTTTTGTAAACAACAAAGAGCCTTGTGGTACCTTAGAGACTAACATTTGTTATGGCATAAGCTTTTGTGAACTGCAGTCCATACCATCAGATGTATGAAGCGTTATCCTAAATTGCTGGCATGGGTGGGTGTCTGTCTTTACACACACACACACACACACACACACACACACACAGACAAATATATTTACCAGGTAAATCACTGTTTAGATGCCTGCTTTCATTTTCAGTCTATTCCGCACTGCTACATCTAGGTCCAAGAGCCTTCAGTGGTGGAGCAGTGGTCATAACCATGGTTTGTAAAAGCATACTAAACAATAGCACAAAACATTGTTTGCAAACCTGCTTCAAACTGGTTTCTGATTTGGGTTTATTGGCTGATTACAAGGTATGGTTGGTCCCTTCATTGCAGCAACCACCCAGAAGTTGTAGGACTGCAACCCCCATCATTCCTTACCATCGGCCAAACTCCATGGGAGTTGAGAGTTGGAGTCCAACAACCACAGAGTCCATAGGTTCCCAAGCCCTGCACTAAACATAGTTAAGCTTTATTGGTTGTGGTTTATTATGATGTCTGAACTCTGAGAGAGCTAGAGAGAGAGGGAGGGAGGGGAGGGAGGGAGGGAGTTTTAACGTAGATTGATCTGAATTAGCAAAAGGAAATGGGGTGGATGAGAAGCCCAAGGCTGAGCCTATCTTTTCCAGACTAATTTGGGGAACAAGAAATTGTACAGCGGTTTGGGTTTTGTGGTGAAAGAATAGAAGGTATAGGAGATGATGCTAAAATTGCATGCCCAGCAAGTAGAGAAACTTACCTCCTTGGTAAGTTTCATATTGGAAGTAATTGCTTGGTACAAACTTTGTATGAGCTATAGTAGATTTAAGAAAACTGACCAATTTTTTGGGGGGGGGGGAGTGGAATCCTGGAAAGAAAACGGCATGTTTAGTAACAAAATGTGGTGTTCTTGCTGTTTTTTTCCTTCTCAAGGCGGGGAGGTGCTTGTCTCTTCTAAGAGTGAACTGGATGAATTACAGGAAGAGGTGGCAAGGAGGGCTCAGGAGCAGGAACTTCGAAGGAAGCGGGAAAAGGAACTGGAGGCTGCAATGGGCTTTAATCCCCGCCCAAGCAGGTTCATGGACCTGGATGAACTGCAAAACCAGGGTAACATGTATGGGCAGGCTATCCATCTTGCACAGAAGCGGTAGGATTGGGGTTGGCTGATCTGTGCCTAGGATGATAAATGGGGAGAGAATGGTTTACTACAAAGATCATTTCACACCCTTTGGGTGTTGCAGTGTAACTTCTGTAGCAGTTTCATACATACTTGCAGAGTTTGTTAGATGTGTTTCAGTAGAAAAAGGAGGTTCTTAGCTTTATTGATTTCCTTTCCTTTCTGTCCTATCATTGGATCCCAAAGGGCTCTAAAGGCAACTGACATTAAAATAAGTGAAATATTTTTTACATTGGGGCTGCTGTCAAGAGTGAACTAGATGAATTACACCCAGAAGCTATAAAACGCCCAAGAATTTAAGCTATATCTGGGCAATATGAAAAACAAATACACAAATTTCCACTAGAGATAATATGTTTTGTGATACCTCTTATTCTGAAGTTGTTTTTCCCCCTGTCTATGTTATATCCACTTTTAAACAAAGTTCCTCAGAGTAGTTTACAGAAATGGAGTTAACAAACCAACCACTCTAAGCAGTAGTTTGAACTGAGCTTGAAAATGAACAGAGAGCTAGGGAAGCTGTTTTTAAAACCGCAAGGTATGTTCCAAACAATCAGTTCTGGTTAGTAGCTTTTTCACTGCATTGTACACAGGCTGTCATTTCTGAATAGTCTTCAAAGGGAGTCCAACATATAATATGTTGCAGTAGTTAATTTGAACGTTGCCTGGGCATAGATGACAGGTGGTTAAGCCATCTCAGTCCGGGAAGAGTCTCAGCTGGTGCTCTAGCTTTAGATAATGAAAGGGTCATCTGAAGTTGGTGCTGAAATTAACAGCAGTTTCAAACTGTGAATCCGACCCTTTAGGGGAAGAAGAAACCCTCCAGAGCAGGCTGAACAAATATTCTATCTTTTCTGGACTGAGCTTCAGTTTATTAGCCCTTATCCAGTTCATTACTGCTCCTGGGTTCCATATTTAGCCCACCCACCTCCTCCCTGTATTAGAGGAAAATGAAGGATAAAACTGGATATCATCAACATACTAATGATACTTGCTTCTTAGTCCCTGGATAGCTTGGCTGCAATTGACCCATAGTTTTCCCCCTCTTTCTCTCTGCTGTGCTTGTGATTCTGAGAAGGGTCTGCTGTTCAAAATGTTGCAGAGCTAAGGTTGCTCTGCGTTGGGGAGGGGATGTTGTCTTTTGCTGAGGTGAAGCGGGGAAAGGGAACTTGAAAAGAATGTCAATGAAAATGAAGAGTGCTGCCCCCTTGCAGGGAGGACTGATGGCTTTGAGAGGTCTGTGCAGGAGGCAGATTCAGTCTTTGAAGAGTCACTGCATCAAGAGCAGAAGGGAGACTGTGCTGCAGCTTTGGCTCTCTGTAATGAAGCTATATGTAAGTAATTCTTAATTGCTTCAGCTTACCCCGCTTTTTGCAGTTTACTAATATCTAATATCATCACTTAGGAAAGTAAAACTGGACAAGTCAATGCAAACTCACAGTTGGAAAAAGCTTGTGTGTGTCTTAAAAGTGTATGGAAGCATCTTCTTTGTGAGCACCATCATCCCTGGAATTCAGTCCTAGCGTTTCCCCATCCCCTTGTCCTACTGGGGCTCCTTTTGAACTAAGGCAATAGAAAGAGGAACAAAAATGTTCCACTTGATGCCAACAGTTCTGACTGCTGTATTATTCTACCTCCTGCTTTCCAGCTGCCCGTCTCCCCCACGGCATACATTTCCCCCCCAGTTCAGAGACTGGTTTCTCAAAAAGTTTAAATTCCCAAAGGACAGCATATAGTTGCCTGATCCCCCCAGAAAGGAGAGTGTGTATGCTGTACCAATTGAAATTTGGTGATGGAAGAGGAGGCATCAGTGTTTCAATAAGTTTAAGACATGTGCTGCTGCATTTATTTATTTTGATACGTTATATTTTTGATTGGCTGACTCTTTCCCCACCCTCCATTCCCTTCTTGCTGGTTAGCAAGGTTGCAGACAAACTGATTTCTAATGTCATGGCTTTGGAAGGTTGAAAGTATTTCTTTTTGGAAGTCTGTTCTCATGGATTAAAGGAAACAAGTAGGCAAAATACAGACTTCGTAAAGGCTCTGGTAGCAAGTGTCCCAACTGGCTATATCTTGGATCTCATATCCTGACCAGATTCATTTGTATATAGAGTATTATTACAGTATTTGGAGCTAAACACGGCCATTTGAAATGAAACAATTAGTAGCTTCAATGCATCAGGGAGTGACCTATGTCACAGAGAAGAGGGGGTTTCCTAAAAAAAGAAAAATAACAAAACAATTTTGTCAGCTTCGTATCTTTTCAGTTTTAATTAACCTGTTTGGACACATAGCTAACCTGAATGTGCATTAATGGGAACGGATGCATCCTTGTGGACTCTTCTGTGGCAGTATTTGCATGTTTCTTTTTTATGTTTTTGTTGCATCTTTTGTTTTTTCTCTCCCTCCCCCCCAGTTTTGTTTTTGTTTCTGCTATGTTTTCTTTTGCTTTTTAGCTAAACTAAGACTTGCCATGCATGATGCCAGCTCTAGCACTCACAGCAGAGCTCTAGTCGATAAGAAGCTGCAAATCTGTATCCGAAAAGCACGGAGCCTCCAGGATCGCATGCAGCAACAGCAGCCAGCACAGCCGCCGCCCACCCGCCACCCGCCACTGGGGGGCAACATGACCCAATCTTCAAGGTAGACTAAGAATATTGCAGTACTCCAGATCTGAATTGGGCCTGATCTGGAAAGAAGAAGTGAGCTTATATGTTCCCTGGTTTGTGTGAAACCCCTTCTTTAACTCATGCCCCCAAGGAACTTAGAATATCGTGGACCTCTCCAGGTGGTGAGAATAATTGGATTTTGTTTTTTTGGTGTTGAACAGTGCAAACCCTGATCCGGAACTAGGAGCACAATCCATTGAAAGGTTAATGCCTCTGTAACAGATGTGGGAAAGGTGTCTTGTTTTAATGGAAATGTTCAGTTTGGCAGGGGTAGGGGGTGGAATATGCATTCTAGTGCTGAAGATGGAAGTATACATCTCATTTTTAAAAAGTCTGCAAAGTATGCACAGTGGTTGAGGAATGCTGCTCATAAGGCAGTAAGCTTGCTGGTTTTGGGGGGTTTGCTGTGCTCATTTCTAAAGGCCACTCTTCTTCCATTCTTCCAACAGGAAATAATAGTACCTCTCCTTTTTTAAAGGCTGAGAATGGTGTGGGCATAGGAGCAGAGTGAATGTTCCTTATCACTAGTGATACTGTGGATGTTGGCCAACAAGCAGGGGCACACAAGGAATTTTACTGCATGTGCCTAGCTAAGGGGGAATCACAACAACAAAATGGCAGTTTAGATGCTGAGAAAACAAAACAGAATCACTTATAAGAAGAAAAAGAGAGAGATCCACAGCAACAGCCAAGTGCAACAACTTTGCATTAATTGTACAATAAAACAATTGTCTAGTAAGGTATTTAAAGAAATTGATAGTAGTTTGCTAACCCAGGCAGGTTTTCTTCACCACAAAGAAAAAAATAATAGATAGATGACAGTACCATTTACAAAAGGAGCCGTGTGAAGGCAAAAATGAGAAGATGTGAATGAGTGAGAGTAAAAAAGAAGAAGAAATGCTTTACAATACCAAAGTTGAATACGCCATGTAGATAAAAGAAAGCCCTTCTATTGATGAGTTTTGATGAGACATCTTTGGAAATCACAGTGATGACCCTGCAATAGCTGTCCGCAGGGTGTGTGCACCCCAGCAACCCAACACTGACTGCCATACAATCAGTTATTGTCTGATTTCTGCAAATCCTGAATTCTTTTTTTTTTTTAACCAAGTTTGTGTGTATGGAGGCTTCCTAGTTTGCAAAGTAGTTTTAGAATGTGGCACAAAGTGTTTGAGCATGTTCTTCAGTACCAATCAAATTGTCAGCGCCAAGTTACAAGTACTGAACCAGGATCGATACTTATGTGGTAGCAAGCTGATTTTTAAAATTGTATCTAATGTCCCCAAATGCACACAAACTAGCAAATAAAATGTGGAAGCATGCCTTTTTCCAAACTAGTATTCAGTGAAGTCCTTAGTAGATAGATAGATAGTCAGTCAGTCTTTGGAAGTATCCTGACTTCTGCTCAGTTCTGGAACATGCCGTTTCTTTTCCATGCATTGGAGGGTTGCTTCCTGTGTTCTGAAATTTGGGGACTTGGAAGCAGGAAAACTCTCTTAGTATCAAGGGGGATGAGAACCTCCCTACTCTAGTACTTCAGAGATGCATCTGAAAAGAGACACATGTTCAAATTTTCCTCAGCTTCAACAATAGCTGTATCATATGGCCAAATTGCTTTATAGGTAAAGGACAAATAGCAGTTGAGGTGGGTGTGAAGAGAGCGAGTGGCGGGCAGGAAGTTGGTATGATCCGCAAATCCAAACCAAGAACACATTTCAGACTTGGGACCCACAGCTGCTTTTTCTTCAGAATAAAAGTGGCCAGTCTGAGTATGCTTTTTAAAAAGCACAAATAACATAATGCAGATTTATGCTAAGTCTTGCTTGTTACAGCTTTCTCCTAGTCCTTTTGAAATTATCTGGAATCTGGCCTGAAAGGCCAAAATCCTTTGGGTTGGGGGCAGGCAGAAAGGGCTGGAGAAAAGAGACTCCGTCCTTAGGTATTTCTTCCAAAATCCATACTAGTTTTGCTTCAGATTTAATAGTTCTCAATTTACCCACCTTATGGTGGTCGTTGGAGAGACGTTACATTGAAAATGGACCATATTGCCCCATTTCCTCTCATATAGACTGTTGTGGTTGTGACAATCTCTTGTGGAGAAAAACTTAGAAGACATCAAAAGGTGATATCTTCACCATGTTATTAGCCTAGAGTTCTGGTTATTTCCTCCATTACAGTGTGCTGTGGTGTACTGTACACTAATTTAGATCCCTATGGCATGTATTATACAGACATGAGTGAAAATAAGATCTCTGGAAAATAAAGTTCTATCACAGTTTTAAAATTTGACATCCATATTCACAAAAAGTATTATTTTACGTACAGTGGTAACTCAGGTTACATACGCTTCAGGTTACATACGCTTCAGGTTACAGACTTCGCTAACCCAGAAATAGTACCTCGGGTTAAGAACTTTGCTTCAGGATGAGAACAGAAATCATGCTCCGGCGGTGCGGCAGCAGCGGGAGGCCCCATTAGCTAAAGTGGTCTTCAGGTTAAGAACAGTTTCAGGTTCAGAACGGACCTCTGGAACGAATTAAGTACTTAACCCGAGGTACCACTGTATTATATTTTGTAGATATGTATCTGTTACAGAAATACTCATGTTAAAACAACATTACTTCAAAGATAATTTTTAATATGGAGAGTAAATCAACTTGTAACACTATTATAGTCCCTGGTTCTCAGGGTGAAGAGTCAACTCCATCTAAAGTGCTTACTGGTTGAATCTTCTGCATGATAGCTTCAAACTTCCTTTTACACTTGCTTTTGGAAAACTTCAACTTAAAAAAAAAAGTGGAGAAAATAAGTTATAAGAAGAGTTCTACCATAACACAGTAGATGATGCACATAAGCTAGGAATTGCATCTTCTTGGTTTTATGAGGATCTCCTCCGCCCTACTCAGATTAAAAAAACATACTCCATGTTTGGGTTTCCCTCTAGATGTCTTCCAAGCTGCAACTGCATTTCACATGCACTTTAACTAGGAGTATATTGACAGAATGCACACCAAAGCTCTTTGTTATGGATACTGCTTTGTTAATGATGATGATAAGTACCAATGGGACTCATGCCTGTAAGAAGACTAAATGTTATCCTGAAATCAGTAGCCTTTCTTCTCCCACCCCACCAATTTATTATTATTTTTAAATGCTAGAAGAATTAACAATGTGCCTTGGTGCCTTGAAGGTGAATTAGAGTGGGCATTGGTGGAGCACAAGGGGTTTCAAATTCATCCTAAGATTTGTTTTCCAGTTAAGAAGCACTAAAAACTGACTGTGATTTTATGTGTGTTTCAGTGAACAGACTGGCCCGCTCCAAGTACTGCTGAGCCAGAAGATTGTACTGGAACCCAGCAGAGAAGCAGAACTTGGGTCCAGTTCTTACTTCCATCCACCTGCTTCCCATCATGAAATGCAGTCATCCTATCCCAAGTCCTTTCTCCCACCTCCTCCTGAAAGCAACCCCTCTTGCAAGCCTTCTCTGAACTTTCAAACTGCTTCTGCTGGTTTCAGTGATCGAGCTCCCTCTTTTCCAAGTAGACATGGGGTGGGTGACAGATCCACTGGAACGGAGAATGAAGTCTGCCATGATCCAGTGCTAGAGGGAGTCTCTCCCGCTAGTCTAAAAGACAATAAGGATTGCAGCAGTAGCAGTAAGCTCGAAGAAGTGCATAACATAGTGGCTTCTCTCACACCATATTGCAAATTGAAAAGTAACATGGTAAACTCTGGATCTTTGCCTACGCTCGTCCCCTCTTCACATCCAGCGCAAGCACCATCTGATAAAAACAGCATTCATAATCCATGCTTCAAACCATCAAGTTTTTCAGAGAGGCCTCTTGTTGAGCAGCAGTGGGCCAATCACGTCATAACCCTGACTTCTCTTTCCCCTTTGCCCCACTGTCCTCCAGATCCATTGCAGACTGCAAATAGGTACCCAAGAGCAAACAGCCATGAGAGTTTACATCACTCACAGGAAGAATTTGTCAGTGGGGGTTCTCTGAAACCTGAGATGATCAGTGCTAAGGGGCATGTTCGCTCCCTTGCAGAGCAATTTCAGCGGTTGCAGGGTGTCCCCCAGAAGGAGGGCACTCATGAGAAAGAAAGGGAAGGGTCTGTCTGTCATGATCAGTATGCTCCAATGTTACAACAGGAGCCCTTCAGCAACCCTCAATTCCTAGGGCATAGGCAGCCAGTAGTTGGAAGGCAAGAGAATGGAATATGGCTTGCTGAAAAGTTGAACTCGTGCCTGAGTTCTAGAGACAAGTTCAGTTCCGGAAATTATTTTAGTGCTCACAGTAAAATGTCCGAGAGTTCTGGGTCACACAATGAAGAACTGTGTAACAAAGGGGAACAATGTTCCGTAGATCCTGACTTATCCCCAGGGAAGTTCAACCACGAGGGAGAAGTGAGAGAGATGAATGACGGCAATCTTGCTGGCTTGGTTACATCTATGCCTGTGGACTGTTGGGTAGACAATGTTAAAAGGTATTACAGTTCTCAGCTGGATTGCAAGAGTGCTACCTGTCTTCCGGTGCCTAGGAACAAGTCGCCTGTGTCTCATCAAGTAGCCTTTGGGGAGGACCCAATACAGGAAGCACCCACAGTGGAATGAAGACACAGAACAGGAGATGTTCTGAGCTGGAGTCACTGTATCAGGCTAGCTTACAGGCATCTCAGACAAGCCAGTCTGTATCGGGAAGGCTGGACAATCCCTGGCATCCATTGGGCAAGACAGGTAAACTTAAATGCTAGAATTGCATATATATTGTGAAGAGTTTTTCTGAGAAGATGGCTGTACTGCAATTAGTTGTGCTCTGGCTTGGCTTCGTGTATTTATTGTGTGTATTGTATGTATTGTGCCAGAGCACAACTAATTGCAGTACAGCCATCTTCTCAGAAAAACTCTTCACAAAGTTCAAGAGGTCAAGACACGAAGGCTTTAGCAACTAATCCACACCTAATGACCCACCTAAGTGGTACTCAGGATATCACTCAAGAAATCACTCAAGATATCCCTCAAGTAATTAAGGAACAAAAGAAGAAAAGGCACACTAACCTGGGAACTTCCTCTCTGCCCAGAACATTGGAGGCTATACACCACACCCCCTCAACAGTATTTATAGGAACTCAAACACTGAGATCCTGCTCTGTTCCAGTAACAAGAAGCCGAAAGCACCAGCCTGAAGATGACGAGTGAGACCTCGTCGAAACGTCGCCTAGACACCCCAACTTTTACACGGGAAGACACCCGAGGACACCAAAACCGGGCCTATATATATGGGGGCCTAGACTGGCAAAATATTGCAAGTACTCAGTGCCTTGGAGTGTATAAAAGGCATTCGATTTAAATTAAAGGCCAGCGGCATTTAATGTTTAGACATGTATTGCACCAGTTGGTAACATTGGGAGTTTGCAGTATAATTTCTGTTGCTCAAAAAGGCACAGTATGAAATTTTTGGAAACAAATGTGTAAACGTACATGTCATTGAAATAAACACAAGTTTTGCATAGAAATCTATATCACCAGGAAAATGCTGCCAACGTTTTCCTCTGCGCTGATATGCTTTGATGTTCAGTTACTTTCTTCATTCAATCAATCTGTGCACATTCCTTGTAAAGGTTTCCCTTGGTGCGCAAGACTGTCAAGCTCCATGCAAAAGCTCAAACCTCTGCCATTAACTGGAGTGCTCTTGTACTATTTCCTACAAGTCATACCTATTTTTCTTCTATGCCAGAGCCTCAGATTTGATGGGTTATTATTCCTCTGAAGAATTCATTTTTTATGAACACGATAATAAACAGTTTTACAGCAATTCTCATTAATCATGACCTATCTTCAGTCAAGACAACTCTCTTAGCTTGGCATCTGGAACTGCAATTTTTACAAACTTTTACCAAGCTGTGGCTTTCCCTAGGTTTAAAAAATAGAAATGTGCAATGATTTCATGAGGAAGAAGCCACGGTTATGCAATATTCTGACATTGTAGGCTGAGTCTTTTACTCAGCAGATCATGCCTGCCTTTTCCCTAAATTGATGGTAGTAGCCAAAATTGGACTGGTAGAATAGAAGGGGCTTAGGGTAAGGCCCTCGTAGTCTTAAGGTTCTAGTCTTCCCCTCCCCTGCCATATCCTTCTTTCAATCTTTCCACTTTTCCTGGTTTTGCTCCCTGTATATGCTGAGCTTGCAATGCTCCTAGGCCAGCATGGGTTGTAACTGGGAGGCAACAGGATGAGTAAGTTTAATTCCATGTGTTGAATGGCCATGCCCTACCATTCTTCCTGTGTTCTGCCATCAGTGGCCTTTGAGTGCTCCAAGCAAAGTTCAGTTGTGCAGCTTAGTGAAAAATGGCTCCTCTGCCAAACACACATATAGTTTTTCACCTTGGTTAGTATGAAGAAAACTAAGGTAATAGCTGTGAGAGGTATAGGAATATGAAACTAAGTTATGAGTAATTTAGCTAATTTTTTTTACTACTGATAATCTGTGTAATAAAAATGAAATGGAACTGTATAATTTTTAATTGTGACTTAATTGTTTCTGGACCTTAAATGTGGTGTCCTGTAAAATAATAGTTTATGGGATAGATTATAAAGATCTCTGTTCTTTTCGCCAGCTCTCGTAGTTTAGACTACTGTACTGGTCACTGATGGTTAGCAGGAGAAACCTGAATGTTTTACAGATGTATACTTAAAAGTTCAGCTTACCACTACTTTTTTTCCTCCCCTTCCCCCACAGCATCTGCAAACTTTCCTACCAGAAAGATGCGCGGTGTAGCTTGCACGGGTCTTTCAAAAACACCAACAGCAGAGATTGAACGTAACCTCTATGGAAGCATTGCATCTCCAGTCTCCAAGGTAGCAACACATTATACATGTGTGCTGAAAAGAGGGTTGTGTTAAATAAAGGAATGCTAAAAAGATGTGAGGACATGAAGAGGTAGAAGCCGGGCAGTTATAAATACTTGTTTTAGGTTAAACATTGCATCATATCCAGCATTAGAAGTAGGGGCAGCTAAATAAGTTTACGTGGTCATGATCCTAATAATTCTTTAGTATGGTTTACTGAACCATAAGATGAAAGAAATACAGTGGTACCTTGGGTTACATACGCTTCAGGCTACATACGCTTCAGGTTACAGACTTCGCTAACCCAGAAATAGTACCTCGGGTTAAGAACTTTGCTTCAGGATGAGAACAGAAATCATGCTCCGGTGGCGTGGCCACAGCAGGAGTCCCCATTAGCTAAAATGGTGCTTCAGGTTAAGAACAGTTTCAGGTTAAGTACAGACCTCCGGAACAAATTAAGTACTTAACCCGAGGTACCACTGTAATGTTCTAAACCCAAGCACACATATGCCAGTCCTTTCCCAGTGGACTTAAATCAATACAGAGCAAACTATTGAATTTCCACATTCTGCTGGAACAGTTCTTGTGCTGGGCTAACCTGATGCTGAACATAGTTGCTGCATTTTAAGATGGCTTCTCCACATCCAGCATAATACCATTGTTTTCTAAATCTGATGCAAAGCGATTTCTATTGCTTTGCAGCCTTGGGTGGAACCTAACATACTGCTAAGACAGTAGTTCCATCAATGCAAGTTTTCTGCTTGTGCAATGAAATATTCTCCCTCTCTCCTCCCGCTGTGCTAGGGGTTTGGGGATGGCATGGAGCATGTGTAGGGGGAGAAGTCCTGGGGCACAAGTGGAAATCCATTAGTAGAATACCCCCCTTTGCTTCCTTATTTTTTTGCCATTTCTGAAATGGAAATGTTAATGATCGATGTAATTTCAGTGTCCATTTCTGAAACAGCGTGTCAGATTGCTGTGGTCTCCTTTAGCTAAGAGTGTTGTATGCCCATTTTCAATGGCAACATCTCTTCAGGTACCATACCCAAGAAACCACAGCAGAGAGCCAGAAGAGGAAATGTACAGTGCAGAGAACTTCCGTCGCATTGCACGTAGTCTCAGTGGGACCGTCCTCACAAACAAGGAGGAGACACTTGTTTCTTCCCACAGTTTTGTAAGTACAAGATTCAAACATGAGTGTGATTGAGTCACCCCCCCCCGCCCCAAATAATTTCTTTAGCTTTATTGCCAAGTTCTAAACAGGGGGGGCATTTTAATAAGCTTGTTCTATGAGCCGTTCTTACATCTCTTCTCATTTAACAAAAATTGCCTTCCTGCTTATGCCATTGGAACATGGGTCAGTTTAGTTTCACCTCTCTTTTAGGTTGTTTTGCTGTTTTTAGTACCAATACATTCTAAACCAAGAGTAGCCAGTCTGGTGCCTTGCAGATGTTTTGGAATACAACCCCTACCATCCAGGACTAGTGGCCATGCTGGCTGGAGCTGGTGGAGAGTGTTATAGTCCAAGCCTTCTTGGGGGCATCCTACTCTGTATCTAAAAGCTTTCAACTGCTTTTTCAACACTTTCCCTCAGAACCCCACATCCAAATCTTTGCGTTAAAAGATTGTGAACAGTCATGCAGTCAATAGGGTGCTATGGCCAAATTTCAAAGATTCTAGGGCTGTGTTTGGTGCAACATACACTCATTTCTACTAGTCATAAAGTGCTTCAGAGTGCAATCCTGTATTCAGAAGTGAATTCCATGGTGATCAGTGGGACTTATTCGCAGGTACAACCTGCCTGCTTAAGCAATCCACCCAATAGTGCTTCCCTTCCTCATCATCTCCAAAACAGAATACAAGTCCTTGGAAATGAAATACACTTATAGAGACCCTATAAGAGACCCTTATAGGAGTGCTCCTTTGGGGCAGGAATGCCTCAAATCTTTCTTCAGAGGGCATATGGTATTCAGCTCCCACCTTGAGTTTTAGAATCACTGGAGATGGTGAATATGTTTTGGAAGGATAAAGTTTGAGTTTGTGTCTGAGGAATCTGCAGGGAAGATGGAAGAATTGGAACTGGAGACATGAACATACAGTGGTGCCTCGCAAGACGAAAAGAATCCGTTCCGCGAGTCTCTTCGTCTTGCGGTTTTTTTGTCGTGCGGAGCAAGCCCATTAGCGGATTAGCGCTATTAGCGGCTTAGCGGATCAGCTGATAAGCGGCTTAGCGGATCAGCTGTTAAGCGGCTTAGCGGATCAGCTGTTAAGCGGGTTAGCGATCAGCTGATAAGCGGCTTAGCGATCAGCTGTTAAGCGGCTTAGCGGATCAGCTGTTAAGCGGCTTAGCGGATCAGCTGTTAAGCGGCTTAGCGGATCAGCTGATAAGCGGCTTAGCGGCTTGGGGAAAAGGGGGGGAGGGGAAAAAACCTGCAGGAACTCGCAAGACATTTTCGTCTTGTGAAGCAAGCCCATAGGAAATTCGTTTTGCGAAGCACCTCCAAAACAGAAAACCCTTTCGTCTAGTGGGTTTTCCGTCTTGCGAGGCATTCGTCTTGCGGGGCACCACTGTACGACTGATAGAAAGATCAGGATATCTGGGAAGGGCAGAGAAGATCTTGATTTTCAAACCACATGCAATGGGAAGACTGGTGTAAGGCATTTATTCTTTGTGTTCCCTGTTCAGGGACAAATAAATCATGCATTTATGCAGCATGATGTCTGGAATTTTCTAAAGCTAAATTCAACCCCTTTTTGCTTTTAAGCGTGGAGTCCACTTCTCCCAAGAGGAAGCTACATGCCCAAATAGGTGGAGCAAGAGCCCTCCTGCTCCATTCTCTTGACAGCATCAACACCAATAGTTTTCTCTGTGGCTTTCTTCCACAGTGAGCCCGCTATACCTTTTCTTCCTTTAGCCATCTTTTTTAGTCTTCCCCATTCTCATTTTGCCTTTTTGTTCTCCCTCCCTCAGTGTACTTTCCCCAACAATCATGTGCTTTGGGTGCAATGGCCTTCTTTAAGTAAGTGTTGGAAGGATCGTGGCAAACCCCTGAACCCCTCAGATGTGACTGTTCTGCCTCAGTGCAGTGCACATGATGGCACTAGCTAGCAGTCAGAGACAGGCTGAAACAAGCATGCCGCAATGTATTTTCTCCTTTCGATGCCATTCTGTGGGAGCACACCCTTTCAGCTTTGGATGCCTCAGGCTCCACCTTCTCCCTCATCACAAACCTGCTCTCCCCCACCCCATGCTTTCGGCTGATCCCAGTGCCATAGCAACTTTTCCACATTGGCACTGACCTCAGGTTCTAAACAAGCGGGGAGAAAAGAAAGCTGCTCCTGACCCTTTTCCACCAGGAGATCCTATGGGAAAGGGGAAGGAAGGAAGAAGAAGCAGTGCCGTTCACCAACTTCCAGCACCAGTTGCAGCCCTTCCTGGACAGGAATAATCCTGCTTCAGTATTCATGTGCTGGTGACTTCCCATTTGGATTACTGCAATGCTCTGCGCCTGGGGCTGCCTCTGAAGACAGTCTACAAACTTCACTTAGTTCAGAATAAGGCCATGAGTGTATTAAGTGGGCCTGGGTGAAATGAGCACATAGGCTTCAACATATTCACTGGCTCTCAGTTTTGTTTCTGAGCTGAATTCGGAGTGAGGGTTTTTGATCTTTTAAGGTCCTTCACCATGGCTTGGGACCAGGGTTCCTAATGGACTCCCTCCTCCTACCTGTACCTGCCCACACAGGGACATCTTCGGAGGCCATTCTCAGGGTGCTGCTGTTGCCAAATGAGGTATGGCAGGCAGCTACGAGAGACAGGATTTTTTGTGCGGTGGCACCTTAGCTGTGCAATGCCTTCCCAATATTTTATTTTTACACACACACACACCTGACATTTTCATTGATCCTTTTTATTTCCCCAGATCCTTTTAATCTATTTTAGCTTTAAGGTATATTTGGTTTTATGCTGTATTATACTTTTATTGTCAATTCTTTTACTCTTCTTGAATATGAAATTGTTTTGTTGCTGTTGCTTGCCACCTGAGAAGGGAGGGGCTTATAAAGACTGATAGCAAAAAGGAAGAGAACAGAGACCCAGGCTAAACTTCTCTAGCAGTGCTGAACACCCACCCACACACCCATTTGGTTTAATATCTCCAGTCTTTGCTCCTGTCCAGATTGCCACAACTCCTTGCTTTGGGAGACAAACCAGGCACATGTCTATTTATTAACAACTGCCCACTAGTTTGGCAATAAACTGCTTGTGGTGGGTTACCTTTTAGTATTAAAAGGAGTGGGACATCTTATGTCCCTGTGTTTTGATGCTTTAAGACTTTCGCCTCTGCTCCCCAGCCCAGTTGCAATACCAGGCTTAAAGCAGTAGAATGTGGGGGGTAAAACAGAGAAAAGGGAGAGAAAAGCCTGCTCCCATTTCTTTTAAAAGTTGGATCTGCCACTGCTGCTTTGTAGAATTGACCTGTGCCTCCATGGACAGCTGTGAGTCCAGAATGACTCCCAGGCTGTGGACCTAGTCCTTCAGGGGCACAGTTGCCCCATTCAGGACCAGGGAGTCCTCCACACCCACCCGACCCCTGTCCCCCAAGAACAGTACTTCTGTCTTGTCAGGATTCAACCTCAATCTGATAGCTGCTATCTATCCTCCAACATATGTTAACACTCAGATGTTTGTTGCACCTGAGATTGGGATGAAGGCAGGTTACAGATAGGTTGTGAGTTGGAAGGGAAACTTCAGTGGTCATGAGGGTACCTCAACTGAGAACTGCTTACAAAATTTCTGTTTAAGAACCGAGCAGCATAGCTCTTCACTAGCAGAAATTTACAGACTATCTTCAAGGGCAGCTTCATGTAGAGTGCTTTACAGCAGCAAATAGAAAGGTAACCAGAGCTTGGGTGATTGTGAACAGAGCTACATTGTCAAGCCAGGTGATCAGTTTTCATTGATAAAAGCCATTCCTGTAATTTGCTACTATTATTAGACACATGAGCTGGGATTTATCTTGCCCAACTTCATTATGATTTTCCTGACTTTGTGAAATTGCTTGGATTTGTGTAAATGGACATGTCTCCTTGCAGTTTAACTGTTTCATTTGACTGCTTCACAGGTCTGCGATATTAGGGGGGGAAAACGTTGTAGGGGATATGGTAAAATTAGCATGTACGGGTTAGCAAATGAGAACTATTTTATGTCTGAAATCTTATGATTCTAATCTTGGTGTATCATTGGTCATTTTAAAGATAATATGTATTCATTTGAATACTTTCCCCCCCAACGTTTAAAAATGGGGTTTGGATATTTAAAAAGTGGGGCGTGATATCTCCAAGTCACGACCTGCCTTTTTTTTCTTACTGACTGCTGGCTTCAAAATGAGAGTTGATTACAATGCAGAATTCCTTCCATCCTCTCGCTGCTCTTCAATGGTTTTGCACAGTGTGGGATTGCTGAAAAGCAGACCCACCAAATTCAGATTATGAATAGAACTAAACCTGGCCTTGCTTACCTGGTATCTATGCCTTGCATATGCCAGAGATCTTGATGCATCGCAACCTGGAAAAAAAACCCAAAAAACTGAATGTCCCTGTTAATGCTTCATGTTATCCCCACCCTCAGCTTACTTTGAGGATATTTTGTGCTGTCCACATACTTAACATGCTGGGGATGTTAAGAAATAAATCCAAGGACAGCCAGTATTGTGCCCTTTAGATGTTGCGGGAGCACAGCTTCCATCCTTGACCATGGGCATCTTTATGCTCTGTCTCTAATCCACTTAATTTACAATGTTGACGTGTTGTTTTTGATGAAGACCGTGGTTCTTTATTTATTTTAACAGTTGATCTTAGTCATTTTGTTCATGTCTGTGTCTTCAAATTACGTTGCACTAGATTTTGCAATAGTAATAATAATAAAATAACTATACAATAAACAAGTTTTTAAATAAATAAATAAACCTTGGCAATTCTTTTACAAGTTCTGAGAACTCTGATGGCCACACCTACAACATTTCTATTTCTCTTCACAAGCAATTGCATGCCCTTTTTGGAGTGACCATATCACTCGGTTGTCCCTGCACTCTCCCCACCTGTTATCCCAGTTCTTTACTTGCCTGGTTTCCCCCCAGTTCTGTGTTTAATCATTATTTTCAATTCTATTTCCCTTTTTCCCTTTTGTCAAAAGGAAGTGTCCAATGAGAGGAAAATGCCAGTGGAAGCCAGACACCGTTCCTCCAGCACCACTTCCCTCACTTTCCCTCACGATTCTCCTCCTGTGTTACCCTTTGATCCCCAGCACTATTCAACCCAACTGCAGCACCTCTCCCATGATGCACCAGTGCCTAGCATGGTGGGCAAGACACATAGGCCATCAGGTAATCACTGGGCTCTTCCTCCTCCTCCTCCTGTGTCGTGGGAGAGTAAGTACGCCGCTCTTTCATCAGCTGTAGCACAAGGCTCTGGGCTGGGCTCTTCTGCAATAGTGATGCTTTTGATCCCTCCAGCTGCCTGGAATGATGCATGACCTTTCCACAGTACGTTGTCTTAACACACCGCACTGCTCAATCCATACTGTAGCGAGTGGGCATCTAAAATAAACGGTTCATCTTTAGCCTATGTTAAGTAGCAGTATTTCTTCATCCTGTCATGGCGGTATATCTGTCGTATGACTCTATCCCCCCACAAAGAAAAGGGTGTGAGAAGAGTTGGCATTGTTTGTTTGCGTTGTTGTTTTTACATACTAGTTATAGGCTTATCAAGTTTGGTGGAGGTATGGGATGAAGAATACCAGTCATTTCCCTCAATCTTTCAACACCCTACCATCCTACCGACCATTGAAGCCGTTACTCTTGGAAAGCGAGGGGCAGTACTGTGTTGTTGCTTTCTTTCCCCAAAACGGAACCTATTGCCTCTTCCTTCTAACCCTGGAGTCACCTTTAGGAGAAGGAGGATGTATGTTATTTCATATCTGTCGTAATCACCCTAGTTGACCCTGTGTGAGGGGGCCGTAGTCAGGTTTTGCCTATAGTTCAGTATTGTCCCCAAGGAATGAATAGCAGCTATTTATGAATTTTACTAGTGTTTTGTTTTAAAGCACTCAAACTCCTTTGTTAGCTTTCGAGGTACATTGTTGATATATCATTACTTAAAAAACAAACAAAAAACATCTGCTCGGGGCAAATAATTTTACATTTTTCCTTTTCTCAGGAAATCAGAAGAACATCCAAAAAATTTTGGTTGTGCCTGACAGGGGTGAAACTTTCCAAGGTGAAGACAACCCAGCTGTGGCACTGAACTATGGGAGCCTCACGTACAAACAGCAGGGCCTGCCTTCTCAACTTGGGCAGAGACCTCTTCTTCATCAACATTTAGGAAGCAAAGAAGCATCTGGCCCCGCTGGCCACTGGCTGCAGATGAGTCACACTGCCAGACAAACAGCAACACTGCCAGATAGACAAACAGTACACTGGGGATACGCTGTTCCAACAAGCAAGGGATCACAAAAACATTTACTCCAGCAGCCACTGCAGCAAGGAAAACGGGATGCTTGTGCCGCTGACTGTAGGTCGCCGCTTGGCACGAGTTACAGTACCTTAAGCATACCTCAGCGGGCTTCAAGAGACACAGGTGGCTTTCAAGGTTGTCCAGTGCCACCCACACAGGCCAAGGCTCCAGGTCCCAGAAGGGTAGATATGCCCCCAGATGAAGACTGGCGGCAGAATAGCTATACCTCTCAGCCTGGAGCAAGGAGAGTGTTGCCAGTGCACATGATAGATGGAACTTATTCATCTGCTTCTGAAGCTCACCGTAGGATGCTGGCCCGTGCAGCTGCCGCTTCCATGCACAACAGCAACTGGTGAGGTCTCTTTAACTTCAGAAGGGATTGCCCCCTTATGAAACAGGTTGTCCGAGCTATAGTTGATAAGACAGCAAGATTTTTTTTCAGTCCGTGTCTGTGCCAGTCTTGTCTTTAAAAGTAGCTAATTGCACTGTGTTTCTGTACTGCCGAACCGCTGTCCATGGGGAACTATTTGGAGACTCCATTCTCAGCCTCTCTCCGCAGAAAATGGTTTCAGGCCCACTAGCAATTGGAAGAAGAGCAAGAGCTGCAAATGGAATCGGTTGTTGACAACAGGCTGTGTTTAAAAGGACTTAAGTCATGAAAAGCATCGCTACTAATCCCATATGCCAACCCATTATTCAGTTTTGAGTTCTTCTTCTCCGTTAGGTGGGGCCTGATAAACTTCCCATGTTCTCTGAAGTTAGAGATTTGGCAGTGCTTATGGGTTAATGAGGCAAATGTATCCTTCTTTGTGTTGAGATGTTAGGCACAGATGACTGCCGTAGGTGCTAGTGCGGAGCTGGAAAGAAGGCATAGCTCATGTGTAAATCAGGCCTTCTCCCACTTCCTCAAAGCAGACTAACAGTGCTTCAGAAAGCAAAGACTGTTAAGGCTGCACACTTAATTATAACATTGTAAACACAGAATCACTTTAACTATTTTAGGGTCAAACATACTTGCCTTTGTAAGTATTTTTCAAATAAATTTATGAAATAGTTATATTTATTGGGTGGTGTATGAATTGCTCTTTTTGTCTTTCAACCAGGCGATTTAAAAAACCTAACAAACTGGTATTCTACAGTTCTTGCACATTCATTAGCTCTTACTTTTGCTTTGCACATGAGCTGCATATTATGGAAATATGGCATCTGATACAGGTTCACTCATGATCCTGTATTTGGAGCAATCCTCTGGAAACAGGTAGGACTTCCCACTCTATAGGCAGAGGTGTAAGAGTACCGTGCTGCTATGTTGTTGGCATCCGTCTGTCTGGAGAGACAAGGGAGTGTGCCTCCAGGGGTGAAGACAAACGGCTGCATTAGCAGCACCGAAGTGACCTCAGGGCACAAGCCTGGGCAGTGTGTCTGGAGGTTTTGGACTGCCCAGATGACAGGACTCCCCCTCCCCTCTCATCCTCACTGATGTCGTCCAAAGAGAAGCAGAGCTATATGTTTGACACCAGCTTGGCTGCAGGCGTTCCTAGAAGGGGGTGTACCAAGGCACCATCCAGCCACCTTAGGGACTCTCCAGATTTATGTAGGATTTACTGCTTAGCCTTTTCTTCCGAAGATGTCCCAAACTCACCAAGGATTTGAGACCCATCGGCTACCCTCACCTGGTTTAGCCAGCCAGTCAAAGCCATTTCTAGGGTGTGGCTGCTGTCACATGCTGGCAGCTTCTAGTAGCCACAGGTGAAAGCTGAGTGCAGGGTATGGACCAAAGGTGGACAAATTACCCCAGCAGCAGCACAATATGTCTCCCAACAGAGAATACTACCTCTCCCCTAACACCCTATACTAGTGTGTTTATTCTATAAACATATGTAGAAGTTCACCAGTGTGGTTGGATGAAGGCCAAGAAGACCCCAAGTTCAAATCCCAGCTCAGTCATCAAGCTTGCCAGGCAACTTTTGGTCAATCAGTCTCAGTCTACCCTACCTCATAGGGTCGTTGTGAATATTAAATTGAAAGGTAAGGCACATGTATGCTGACCTGAGCTCTTTGGCGGAAAGGGGGGAAGTAATTAAAGATAAAAATTAAAAGATAAAACAATTTGTTAACAGGTAAGGAATCTACATACCATCTGCTGCCTGTCAGAGTTAGTCTGAGAATTTATTTGAAGAAAAACTGCTCTCTGCCTGTTAAAGGGGCTGGGCTGGCTACTGACTTCCATATGATCTCCGTTCCTTTTGGGATTTTTTTACATTGCCTGTAGCTCCTGCTAAGAGGTAGGTGTGTTGAATGAGTAATTAATTGCTTTTTAAAAATTTGATATTTTGAACTTAGGAGCTAGCTCTACCAGGAGTGTTGGTGTGTGAAAAATCTGAGCTTTGTGAATTGTTCTTCTTTGTCTCATTGCTTTAGTCCTGCAAGAGCATGGCACATTGTTACATTATCCTTTTAGGGAATATTGTCAAAGACTTGCCAGTGTTACAATGAACACCATTGTTTGCTCCCACACAGAAACTATTAGACTGAAAAGTGGATTGTTAAGTTCTTGACCTCCATATAAAACCTAGACTGCTGCCTAGTGTTCCTTCTAAATACATATGCCAAATTATCATCCTGCTTGACAATTATACTTTCCCCCCCCAGTGCAACTTACTAAATGTACAGCTCATTTAACACGATGCTGTGGTTTCGGGGGGGGGGGGTTGTATGCAGTCTGAGCACTGAGCTGCAGATAATATTTTTACTCCTGACCTAAATGTGATATAGTTGCCCATTCAATTTTCAGTATTCCTCTGTAGCACTGTCATATGATGTCTCTAGTAACAACCAAGCTCAGAGCAACCTTTTAAAAGCTCTCATGTCACCTGCTAGTGGTGATGCAGGAGCGATCAGCTGGAGTGAATTGCCTTGTTACAAAGCTGAATAGAGCACAGCTGTGCCAGAAACAGTCTTACTGGGCTGCAAATCAAGGCCAAAGGCTCGTATCAGAGATGTGCGAGCATCATTGTGAACACTGACTTCGGATGCTGCCTCGATTCTGGTGAAAAGTAAGTACATTGAGTATAAGGTGAAACACAGGCTGCTATTTCACTTTTGATTTGATTTTTTTGCTTTGTAGATGAGGATTTGTGAAGACCCTGGTTTTCTTACATTTTAATACTTTTAAGGTGGTAGAATAAGGTAACAAAAGACAACACACAAATTAGGTTACAAGGTGGTGATCTATATGCCCTTATCGCTTGGCTGGAACCCAGGCTAATGAAGAAGGTGCTAGTGATGGGGGGGCAAGGGTTAGCTGGAAAATAAATGCAAAATTGATCACGTTTGAATGCCTACATATTGTGAGTATTTTGTTGCAATCAGCTTGGCCTGTGGTCAGGGATGTTGCTACAGGCACTATTAATATAGGTGAGCTATAATTTTAAATAAATGGGAGTGGAGAGAGAAGTATGTGTGTGAAGAGAAAGGTGAGTTAAGGAGTGTTTGAAAATGTGGCTTGGGTTAAGGATTCAGCATGTTCTGTGTCGGGTGTAGCAATGTGTATAGATGTTAGGAGACTATATATTTATTAGATGTTCTGCTTCCTCACATTTGTGAGTTCGGCAGAGTGCATCCTTTTGCAGCTTATAAAGAAGCTTAGATAGGCTAGTTTTAGCCTTTCAGTTTAAGTAATGCAGGATGCTTTAAGGCAGACTGGATTCTCCTGATATCCCCACCTTCCTGCCCCTTAAAAGAATAATCACACAAGCAACATTGTAAAAGGTAAAAATAACCTTTACTCAGTTTCTGTTGCAGAATAACAGATACAGTAGCTTTGTTCAGGTAGACTTAAAATGACAATTCAATTAGACATGCTTCAGATGATGTCTGAACTATGAAGCTCAGCCATGCAGATTGTTTTCAGCTTTGTGGCTTGTGGTGGGCTAAAAGCTTTTTTGCCTGGATTTTCACATTTTGAAATATGGCAACCCTATGTTCTCTCTAGCAAACTGGTCCAGGAGCTTCGACTTATAACACTACACAGGTAAAACATTCCCTCAAGGGTCACACCTGCTGCTTAAAAATTATTTGTCAATAGCAAATAAAAGCTAGGAAGGAGAAATATGTGTAGCATGGAAGTCTAAGCAAGCTAAAAAGAGATCAGTGTTGTTTCATAAAAATCTCATTGTTACGATCCTGAGTTCACATAAAGATATACAAGGTGAATATATTCCCCTAGATGTAGAAACTGATGCAGAATAATATTTTCTTAATATGGATGGTCTTGATCTAGTCCAAGGTGCCCACCAGTTTATTGTCCAGTTTAATAACCTCTCTGTAGACAGAGGAGGCCCTCTCGGATAAGCATCCTGTATCCCATAGTCTGAACCAAGACCACCTTCTAGTTTTTATAAAAGCCTGGGTTTGCCAGTTATAAGTCCATCATAAAAGCCTCTAGGCAGAGTAATTTAATATTAATGGTGATTTAATATGAAGCTACCAAATAGCCTTTTCTTTGGACAATCCACGAATTGTCACATGAAATAATTTATGCAGCATGATGACACTGGGGAAGTGAGCTTCCTAAATGTTTCGGACCGCTTGAAGGCTTTTAAAGGGAACTTTATTATAGCTTCTGCCTGTGCAAAAAAATAAAGTTGTAATTTCAGTTTCGTTCACTTTTTCTTTATTTTCTTTTATTATTATTGCTGGCCGTCCAGCGCTGGATTTAGGGAAGCCTCAGTAGTTCCCCTCCACAGGGTACTGAGCCGAGAGGGTGCAAACCCCATTTAAAAAGCAATTGTGTCTGTGTGGAAAATAAGAGATATGGGAGGGCCCTTGGGACTGTGGCTCTCGCCCTTGTTTTATTGCTTGGGGGAGTTTCGACACGCTTCACGCTTTTTTTTTTTACACTTTTGTGAGCCGCCTTGCAACCGTCCAATATCAATACCGCTATGGGGGGGGGTTTAATATGCCACAAACTAATATTCCTACTGAGTGGAATAGACGCTTTAAAAATGAGAAAAGGGGGAAAGAAAAGCATTTCGGAAGCAGCCTCATTTATTTGCATAAGGAGCCTTTAATTATGGCGCCTCAGCCGAGCACTTCTGAGGAGCTCCCTTAAGCCTCCTCGTGGCGGGGGCGGCGGCGGGGGGGAATTGCGGGCGCGGTGCATGCCGGTCCCGAGGCGGGCTGCACCCGCCGCCTCGTCACTCGCGCTCGCGCGCTCTTTTTCCCTCAGCGGCTAGTCCGCCGCCATGTTGCTTTGGGCCCTGGCTGCTCCCGCCCGCCCCTAGTCTCTCGCCGCCCGCCCCTCGCCCTCGCGCTGGCCGGGCCCCGGCGGGAGGCGGATAAAGAGAACCGCAGCCGGGGCGGGGGGCGGCTGGGGCGGGTAGAGACGCTGAGGGAGCCGCCGCCGTTGCTGCTGCTGCTGCTCTCGCCGCCCGCGCCATGTCCGGCAAGGAGGGGACTCGGGTTGCGCTGGCGACGCCTCACGGTACCTGTGAGCGGGCCGTCAAGGGTGAGTGACAGGCCCGGCCAGGCCCGGCCGCCTCGCTAGGCCCGCCTCCTGGGGCTGGGCTGGGCGATCCCGCGCCTCGCCCGTCAGTTCCCCTCGCTCCGCGTGTGTTTGTGGGGAGTTCATACGTGCTGCGGGTGCGGGCCTGAGAGGCGGTTGCAGGCGCCGCTCGCGTCCTCTTCGTGCCCGCTTCCTCACCCGAGGGAGGGAAGAGCGCATTGGCTGCTTGTTTGTATGGCGCCTGCCTGCGAGCGTGGTTGTGTGGTGGATGTCCATCGGGATGCCGGGGCGGGGGGGCGGGATTTTTCTGTGGTGTTGTAGTTGTTTCCTTTATGCAGCGAAGGTGCCGGCTGGGTTTTGTTTGATAGCCCTTCGAACAACCCTCTGGAGTTGGGCTGAGAGAGTTTGTGGGGTTGCCTCCCCCCACCTGAAATTTCGGAGGGGATTGCTTATTTGAATCCTGGGTTTTCGGGTTTGTCCCCCCCACCCAAGGCAGGGAAACAAAAAGGGATGAGATGGGAGGGAAATACATTGAGGGTTCCAGCTGGTATAGCACA